TTGTCCATTGTCTTCAACAGAAAAATGCCTCGAGCTTGTAAGTTACTACTGATTTATCAACTTGTATCCAACACTTTGGATACAGGTTACTCTCTCCTGTAGTTTTCATTCGGCTTTCCCACATTTCTTGAAATGCATGCTTTCAGCGAGGGTGTCTTATTTTTTTACATGCTTCAGATCAAACAGCAGTGCATTGCTTCCATCCTGCAACTCACAATCCAGACTTCTTCTCATTCATGTGCTCTTCTTAGGGCAAGACAAACAAGAATGTTTGGGTGCATTTTGAGTTGAAGCACATCTGTGCAAAATACAACTGGATCCATTGCAACATTGCATACATTTATTTGTTAAATTTTTCGAAAATAGGAAAAGTTATATCAGGTTACTAACATACAGTAGAGTCTTACTTATCCAACCTTGGCTCATCCATCATTCTGTATTATCCAATGCAGTCTGCCTCCCACCCAGATCCACATCTGTTTCAATACATTGCGATGTTTTGGTGCTAAACCCATAAATACAGTAATTACTACATAATGTTACCATGTATTGAACTGCCTTTTCTGTTGATTTGTTATAAACCATGATGTTTTGATGCTTAATTTATAAAATAGCATAATTTGATGTTTAATAGGCTTTTCCTTAATCCCTCCTTATTATCCAACATTTTCGCTTATGCAACGTTCTGCCGGCCCATTTGTGTTGGATAAGCAAGACTCTACTGTACCATATTTCAGGAACTCAGACAGCAGGGCAGATCATTTCAGAGAGTAATGCATAGAAGAGAATGGCACTGCAAGGCTTCAAATATGGAGAAAGTGTAATCCATGGAATGTTGTAAGATATGAAACAGTACCATCTAGTGGCACATTGACTATACTATCATACTCTTGATTTTTTCTGTCTTTTTATGTTCAGAATGTAAAAGAAAGCCTTTTCATTGTATTGTTGAAGGCTTTCATGGCTGAAATCACTGGGTTGTTGTAGGTTTTTCGGGCTATATGACCATGTTCTAGAAGCATTCTCTCCTGATGTTTTGCCTGCATCTATGGCAAACATAATAATAATACTTTATTTGTACCCTGCTACCATCTCCCCAAGGGACTCGATGCAGCTTACTTGAGGCCGAGCCCAAATACAACAATACAAGCAATAATAACAACAATACAAGCAATTAAAATTAAAAAAAAACATAGACAATAAAATATGCAACAATTAACAATAAGACAACACACAATTAAAAACTGTGGGAAGGCCAAATGTAAAGTTAAAATTGGAAATGATGCCAGGACATGGGCGAAAAGGTGAAAGTGGCGTTTGTGGAAAACGTACAAGCAGACCTAATATGTAAAGTGCTTTGAAGGACAAAGTGCTATGGGATCATTATTCTGGGAAGGCACACGGGAATAACCACGTCTTCAAGCTCCTCCTGAAGACTGCCAGAGTTGGGGCCTGCCTGATGTCCTTAGGGAGTGAGTTCCAGAGTCAAGGGGCCACCACAGAAAAGGCCCTCTCTCTCGTCCCCACCAATTGCACCTGCGATGCAGGTGGGATTGAGAGCAGGGCCTCTCCAGATGATCGAAGAGATCGTGTGGGTTCATATACAGAGATGCGGTCACGCAGGTAGGCGGGTCCCAAACTGTTCAGGGCTTTGTAGGTAAGAACCTGCACCTTGAATTGGGTCCGGAAAATGAATGGCAACCAGTGGAGCTCCTTGAACAGGAGGGTTGACGCTCCCTGTAAGGAGCCCCAGTTAACAACCTGGCTGCCGCCCGTTGAACCACCTGGAATTTCCAAGCCGTTTTCAAGGGCAGACCCACGTAGAATGCATTGCAGTAATCCAGTCACAACCTCTGAAGATGCTTGCCATAGATGCAGGTGAAACATCAGGAGTGGATGCTTCTAGAACATGGCCATATAGCCCGAAAAACCTACAACCACCCAAAGCCTTTTCATGCTAAACAGATATGCTGTGGTCCTCTAGGAGAATGGAAGCATAACAAATACATAAATAAAGAGAATTAAAAAAGGAGGGGTTAAAGTTGGACAAAGAGATAGGAAAACTCCAGAGAGTTAGAAAACTTATGCTCATAAAAACGAATGCCCTTTGCAGTAAGATGTGACGGTCTTACTGCAAAGGTTTTTGCTTGCTTTAAAATTTTAAATCATTACTCTTTCTCAGGTAACAGTGTGCTTTCAGTAGAACAGTATGATGCTGGAAGATGTCATAAACAAAGTAACTGGGGGAGAAAAGAACACTGGGGAGAAAAGATTCTTGAGTTCCAAATCTGAATTCCAGACTGTTGCTTTCATGTTTGTGCTTTGATCCCTGAGATGTTGGATGAAGACACAAGACAGTGAAGTTAGAGAGAGCAAAATGTAGGTTGAAGTCTGGCTGTCTCACATTGATTGAGACAGAGGCTGGATATATCATTGTAAAACTGCTTTTTTTTTGTTCAATATACACTATATTAAACCTAGCAAATCGGGGGTTTCCAGCAAAACAGAAGATAGAGCAACCAACTCTAAAATTAAAAAGTCATTATAATACTTGTGTTGTTGGACAAAACATCTCTTCTTACGGCTGTACAACAGGTACTGTCTTTATACTACAGATTTTTGTAAGGATTCCTATACTGTAGAGTCTCGCTTATCCAACATAAATAGGCTGATCGTTGGATAAGTGGAAATGTTGGATAATAAGGAGGGATTAAGGAAAAGCCCATTAAACATCAAATTACATTATGGTTTTGCAAATTAAGCACCAAAACATCATTTTTTACAACAAATTTGTCAGAAAAGGCACTTCAATACATGGTAGCATTATGTAGTAATTACTGTATTTACGAAATTAGCACCAAAACATCCTAATGTATTGAAACAGCTGTGGATCCGGACAGGAGGCAAACTGTGTTGGATAATATAGAACATTATATGAGAGAAAGTTGGATAAGCGAGACTCTGTTATATATAGTCATGAGAGCAAATGTGGGCTTAAGATATAATTTTGATGAAATTAGTTAAGTATTTCCACTATCAAAGAAAGGATAGGTCCATGCCCAGTGGTGTTAAAGCAGACATGGGGAAACGTTGGCCCTCCAGGTGTTTTGGACTTCAACTCCCACCAGCGTTTAGGAATTGTGGGAGTTGGAGTCCAAAAGACCTGGCGGGATGAAGTTTGCCCATGCCTGTGTTAAAGACATTTAGCAGTATGATCATTGATATACAATATTAGGTTAGATATTTTGCCTAAACTGCAGTGGAACACATTTCTGTGTGCATATCTTAGCTATGAATCAGTATTAAAGTATAATCTTTACATGAAAAAAGTCCTTTTCTTCCCTGGCATTTCAGCTAAAAGCATCAGGTAGATCCTTGCACAAGGGAGCTTTTGCCCATCAGAACATAAAACATTGGGCTAGATGACTAATAAATATTTGGCTCACTAGAAGGCAGACTCTTATAGTGAGTTTTTAGTAGTTTTTAACATATGCCAAGAGATATATTGTGTGCTGGCAAAGAGATTGTGTATTGGGAACTGTCAAACTAAGATTAACATATGCTCCCCATGATTAATCCATTTCCCTTCCCACACTGAAATGTCCTCAGAGACATATGTTTCAGCCATTAGACTTGGAAATGAAGCCTGTGCTTACCTTCCATTGACAAATAAAAATGATAAATACAAGATACATAGAATCATGTGCTGTGAAAAGTATAAACATTTTACCACTTAGAGATAACCTCTACAAAAAGTTGGATAAACATGTAGTATTATGTGTTGTCAAAGGCTTTCATGGCCAGAATCACTGGGTTGCTGTGAATTTTCTGGGTTGTATGGCCATGTTCTAGAAGGATCACAACCTCTGAGGATGCCTGCCATAGATGTGGGCAAAATGTCAGGAGAGAATGCTTCTGGAAAATGGCATACAGCCCAGAAAATTCACAGCAACCCATTTAGTATTAGGTTTACCCATCTATTTTTCTGTAATAGGGATTTAGTTTTAAACCTTCTGTGAAATGCTGGATGTTATATCATTTATGCTCTGGTGGCAGCCAGAATAGAATATCATACTGTGTCATTTGTGGGGCTGGCTTTAAGAATGATTCAAAAAGTCCTTGTTTGACATGGATCCTTCACTAGTTGTACAGCTGTCACTGTTTTATGAGCCAATTTGAAGCATTGATGTCCAGATTAAAAACTTAAGTTGGACCTGTTATTTTAAGGATGTTTTTCTTGCACAAACCTGAAGTGAGTACAAAGGAGAGGGCCTTTTCTGTGGCAGCCCCTAACTTTTGAAATCAGGCCTTTCATGAGTAATATGGATCTTCTCTAAAGATCTACTTATTTATACCCTATCTCTCCATCATTCTTGGACTGCTGATTTAATTGCCAATGTGTTTTTTGCTGCTTTTCTATTGAATATCAATTTGTTGGATGCATTTGTTTTGTATTTTGCATTATCCTTTAGGATGCTTTCACCATAAAAATGACAGGTAGCCTGAAAATAACTTTCAATACATAAAGTATCTTTTATTGGTGTCGCATTTTGTACAGTTTTATCTAGTACTGTCTTATAGCATGATACGGATTTATTTATTATATTTTTCTCAATGGTATTTATGATCCACTTTGTGAGGACATTCCCTTAACCACAAGTCGGATTCATGTGACCCTATATTGCCTGGGCTGCAACTCTCAGCATCCCTAGCCAGTATAACCAACTGTGAAGAAGGCTGGAAATTGCAAGCAAGACCTCACAACCTCTGAGGATGCTTGCCGTAGATGCAGGCGAAACGTCAGGAGATAATGCCTCTAGAACATGGCCACATAGTCCGAAAAAACCTACAACAACCCATGTAGAGATTGTATGATTCCTAGCCCTATAGTTGTGTGGAAAGAAATGGAGGGTGGGATGCAAATACATTATAAAATAATATCTTATGTTCACAGGTCTGACCTTTATTTTCATCTGTGCTACCAGTATAGGCCTTTCCTGGTGAAATGTTACTGTTTCCTGTTACACCCAGAGTGACTGCAAAAAAAACAGAAGAGCCTTAAGATGAATATCAATTTCAAAGCCCAACCTGAGCCTGAGCTGACACCTTATGGGAAAGCAACTTACTTTGTTTGCAGGCACACTCCACATCCTAAGACAGTGTGCCACATTAAAGGTAAAGGTTAAAGTACCCTTAAAAGGGTGATGTATCCAATTCTGTTATCTGTTTTTGGGTTCCTAAGTTGAAGTGATACATTTTATGCAATATTGTGGGACAGGAGGGTCAACATGCAGGTAGCATTGCTTCAGGTAAACCTACCCATAATGGTCTCCAGATGTGCAGATGATATACTTAAAGTCCAATGATATCAAACCATTTGCTATACCTGCCAGAATGAGAACTGGGGAGATGTTGCAACTCAGAGTAAGCTTCACCTTGCTTCCAAACACCACCACACAAGAGCTGTAGTTTTATAGTTTATTGAGGAAAAAATCCAAGTCAAAATAAAGAATAAGCATTGCAAAGTTCCAAAGATTAAGGTTAAATGCAGAATATAGTTCCAAAGATCTTCAGGTAAAAGCAAGAGACACAATCCTATTGGCAAAGTTCAAACCAGAGTCCCAGGTACAAGCAATGAAACAATTGCCCCATGAATCACAATGCAAGAAATCCCAAGCGTACTGCTTTCCAGGCTAAGATTATTCCATGAAGCTTTCAGGCTAATAAGCTACGTTGAACTGACGCTTTCCCTTGGTTTGCAAGAAGCCTAAATACCTTTCTAACATGAAAACATTACATGAAATCATTGCGATGACCTTTCACCGAGCTGGCTTCTCGTCTGCCGGCCAGGCGAGAACTCCGCCTGACCCGCAAATCAAGACGAGCCTGCCGGGTCAGGTCACTATCAAGGCTTTCAGTACTTTCAGTATCAGCATGGGAAGGAGGCAAATGCCTCCCCACCTGTTCGCTATCTCCTTCGTTAAAATTCTTTTCTCCTGAGAACCGCTGTGTTGATGTTGACTCTGCACTGTCTGACTCTGCACTGTCTGTGGGAGCCGCAGGCCCAGAGATCTGAGGCACAGAAAAAGAGCCAGGAATCTGAATCCCATCATCCTCATCATCACAGAACATCACAGCCACAACAGGAGACCTCATGTAACTTTAACGGTTGTATAGGAGAGGGAATTTCAGCAGCTTCTTATTTGGTGGAATTTGTGCTTCTACACAAGGAGGAAAAGTGGAGGAGTTTTCATTCTGGTTGATGCTTGTTCTCCCGTATCACAACCTCTTTTCTTAAATGCTGGGGATGAATCAAGATAAAAACAGGAAGTTAAGATGAGAAAAGGCCAGTCCATTTCTAAGCAGAGCTATGAAGGAATCCTATTTGAAACACTGCACATTCATTGCTGCGAGTACATTCTTGTATTCCTATATTTCATCTAAAGTCTAATATTATTCAACATCAGCAGTACTTGAGCTTGATGCACCAATAGTCTGATGCTCTATAAACTAGCTTTCTGTGTTCCTATAGAGTCTGCAACACCAAATAACAACTAGCATTAATTCTGATTGATCACTCTCCAAAATTTTCAAACTGACTAATGTCAACTCAAATGCAATGGTCAGTTCACAAGCTCACCTGCAACTCATCAAGTGTTACTTCACAAATACATCAGGATCCACTGACTGAATTTTCAAGCCTTATGTGAGATTCCTGTTTTTATCTTGATTCATCCCCTGCAGACATAGATCCACAGTCTGGGAGTTCTCCTGGACTCAGCACTGACATGTGAAGCTCAGGTATCGGCGCTGGCTGGGAGGGCCTTTGCACAATTAAAACTTGTGTGCTAACTGCAACCATATCTTAAAAAGCCTGACTTGGCTATAGTGGTCCACGCCTTAGTTACATCTAAAATAGACTACTGTAATGCACTCTACGTGGGGCTGCCTTTAAAGACAGCTCAGAAATTGCAGTTAGTGCAAAGGTCGGCGGCCAAATTACTAACGGGCTAGTTATAGGGAGCATACCATGCCCCTATTAAAGCAACTCCACTGGTTGCCAGTGAGTTTCTGAGCCCAATTCAAAGCATAGGTTATCACCTATAAAGCCCGATATGGTTTGGGTCCAACCTATCTTCGAGACCGCATCTTTTTCTATGAACTGGCATGGGCACTAAGATTTACCAGGGAGGCCCTCCTCTTGGTCCCATCTCAGTCTCAAGTGCAGTTGGTGGGGACAAGAGAGAGGGCCTTCTCGGTGGTGTCTCCCCAGCTTTGGAATGCCCTCCCAAGGGAGGTTAGGCTGTCTTCCACTCTCCAAAGTCTTCTGTATACAATTGAAAACATGGCTTTTTAGACACACCTTTGACCGTGTCTAGAAATTCGAGGACCTAGAGATTTTTCACAGTGCACTTTATGAGACTGATGTTGATTGCAGTGTGTATTATATTCTTCAGCTATTGTTGCAGTTTATTGATCTTAATTAGGGAGGTTTGTGATGTTTATGTTGGTTGTTGCTGCTTTTGTGTTATTGTCTTTGCACTTTTTGTATTTTGCATGTTTGCATCTTTGAGTGCTTTGTGAGCTACCCAAGTCCCTCTAGGAGATGGTGGTAGATTATAAATAAAGTTGTTGTTGTTGTTGTTGTTGTTATTTGTCTCCATGGAAAAATATTGTAGTTGAATAGTCAGTTGAAATGAGCATTCTGTCTATGGGATTAATTTGTGTTTTATAAATCAGGATATGGTTCAGCACCCATGTTGGCATGACATTATTATAAGAAGCCCAACGCTACCAGGAGGATATTAAAAGGATGTGTGTTTTTTGCTTAGGATTAAATGATGCCCCAATCTGTACTGTAAAAGACCGAGGAATCAATGAAGGACACGTCATTTTACCAGGACCAACATACAATCAGCTATACAAGCACACAGGAATAACTGGTGATGCTTCTGTTCCCAGAAACACTTTGCCAAACCTACCCACGCTGAAAACTGAACGTAAGTAAATCATAGCTTTTAGCACTAATTCAAAATCACAACTTTACTTTTATAGAAGAGAAGCATGTGGATAGAATTGTCACATTAAACAGTTATTTCAGACTTTTGATATCTTCATCCCTACTTTTAAGCCCACTGCTTTAGAGTAAAGATCAGTGGCTAGGAATGGCTGGGACAAGTTGAACCTTGTTGTCTATGGGTGATGCATAACACAATAGCCAAGAGAGCGTTATAGAGAGAATGTGGCAAAGGCCCACTTTGGAAGATTACTTTAAAGACTGCCAGAGAATGTCCACCATGTGTCACCATCTCATTGGCCAAGTTGATTTGCCACCCAAAGTATTCCCACATAGTGAAGATACTGGCTTGTACATTGTTTGTACAAAAATATTTTATATCAGCATAATACCTTGCACTTTAATTGAAGATATTCTTTGCCAACTAAACACAGCACTGCGTGAGGTTTTTTTTTTTGTAAATTGTCTTATTTGCTTTCAACCCATTATTACTCCAATGTTAACTCATTTCTTCTTATATTCCAGAATTTATGAGAGATGAGATCACAAGAAAAATACCAAACACCCCGATGTTAAAGCAAAAGGTAATCTAGGAAAGCTCTACACACATACATGCAGGAAGTCTCCAGGTTATGGACAAGATAGGTCCTGTAGGTTTGTTCTTAAGTTGAATCTGTATGTAAGTCATAACAGGCAGATTTTTAAGTATAACTCCAGTCAAAATGTGGATTTTTAAAAGTTTTGGATTTCACAGGGAAGGGTTAACACCACTGTAATGTTTGCTTTGCTGTCTGTGTCCCTGTTCAGAAGACTTCACCTCACTTTCTGTCCCTGTGATCATTGGATTTTGAAAAAAAATGGGTTGTTGAGGAATCAAGGATTAGTGATAAAGCTTCAGTGGAGACACCTCTTCCCCATGTTAAACTCTTCCAGGAGAGAATTTCCCTTCCGAGGGGTAGATTTACCTTCCTGCCTGTTGTCTGACTTCTGTTCTTAACTATGAGTCATTTGTAAGTCGGGACTGCCTATATCGGTGGCTCTCAACCTGGGGTCCCCAGATGTTTTTGGCCGTCAACTCCCAGAATCCTAACAGCTGGTAAACTGGCTGGGATTTCTGGGAGTTGTAGGTCAAAAACATCTGGGAACCCCAGGTTGAGAACCACTGGCCTATATATATGGAACATCTGTATTTTTATCCCTCTTATTTTCATTTCAAGCAATTACTTAATAACTGGCAATTTGGAAGACAACAGGTTGGGATAGGCAAGTCTGTAGCATTTTTAACATAAAGATTGGTTTAAGATAGATGGATACATTAGAAAACAACCATTTAGTACAAGAGCCATTCAAATATTATTGCACTTCCACAGAAATAAAGTGAGGATAGAAAGTTTTTATTTTCATTTTTCATGTGTCTTTTGGGGATTTCTTTCTCTTTTTTTTTGTACTTTATCATCAGGATGATCTTATGAGGAAATTTCCAGGAGACCGTGCCACGGACCGCCGTCTTTCACCTGGCCAGGCGATGCGTTACAGGCCAGAGATCACAGAGAATTTTAATTATGCTCCAACCTACTTGGAATATGAAATACAAGTAAGATACATAGAGTTGCAAGAAACCACAAGGACCACCTAGTCCAACCCCCTCCTGTGCAGGAATACCCATACAATAGTGAATGCTTGTTTCATATTACATGCAAGGTGCAATATAAGTTGCATTAAAAGCTCTAGGTTTTATTTCTACCTAAACATGCATAGATTTCTCAGTCAGTTTGAAACCAAATGATCTGAATAAACTGTGGGAGGAAATGGTTCACACAGACAATGACTATTACGTTACGCGGCACATGTTTTATTCCAGCAACCTAACGCCCAAAAACCCAGACAAAAAATAGTCTCAGACCAATAGTCAAGGTAAACAGAAAATCTTTACTGTCTTTACTTTGCAGAGATGAAATAAGACTGGTAATGCAGCACACAAAAATCAGCAGTGCAACATATTTACACAGTCTTTGTAATATTAATAAAATAAAGCATCTTCTAAGCAGCAAATAGAAAATCAAAACAACCTGAAGTAAACAGCTATTTCACCATCAGCATTTCCTGCTGGTACTCCACACTGGTGAAACGGAACTCCAGCAGCAGCCCACCAGAAATCCAGCACCCACCAACACCCACCAGGCTGTATTCAAAAAACTCAAACACTTATAGCCCCTTGGGCGTGGCACAAGATTGCTGCTTGACCTCCTTAGTCAACTGAACAAGATAATTACAAACAATAAGGTTTTTCTTCACACATATACTTGTGTCCTGCAAGGACTTACCGTAACATATTATATCCCAATAAACAAAAGAGATAAATCTAGAAATGTATTGTCAAAGGCTTTCATGGCTGGAATCACTGGATTGTTGTAGGTTTTTCAGGCTGTGTGGCCATGTTCTAGAAGCATTGCCTCCTGGTGTTTTGCCTGCATCTGTGGCAAGCATCCTCAGAGGTTGTGAGGTCTGTTGGAAACCAGACAAGTGAAGTTTATATGTCTGTGGAATAATGTCCAGGATGGGAGAAACAACTCTTGTCTATTTAAGGCAAGTGTGAATGTTGCAGTTGGTTGGCGTTTCCAACAGACCTCACAACCTCTGAGAATGCTTGCCATAGATGCAGGTAAAATGTCAGGAGAGAATGCTTCTAGAACATGGCCATATAGCCCGAAAAACCTATAACAACCCAAATCTAGAAATCTTGACAGTCCAAGGGTTTGAGTTTTGTGAAACTCATTATCAGACCAAACAATGATTCAGGGCACTTCAAATAAATGTTTACATTCTCATTCCAAGTATCAGAATAAACTTGATTGCCACTATCGAACTGGAATTCAAATAAGCAGTTTTCTTTTTGTGTCAGAAGCAATTTGAGAAACTGCAAGTCGCTTCTGGTATGAGAGTATTGGCCATGGCCATCTGCAGGGACATTGCCCAGGGGACATTGCCCTGGGAAGATTCTCTCATGTCCCTGTATGGGAAGCTGGAGCTGACAAATGGGAGCTTACTCCGTCTGGCGGATTTGAACCGTCAACCCTCATGTCAGCAGTTCAGCAGGCACAAGGATTTAACCCATTCTGCCACCACAGCTCCTAAATAAGCAGTTGAAATTAATAGTATTCAAAACAATTTGAGTTGTGGCAAAGATTATGAGAGAATTCAACAGTCATAATTTGAGAACAACAAATAACCTAGTTCTCATGAATGTGGTCTAAAAAGATCAAAGTCCCAAGATTTTTTTCAGAAGGAAGTAAACAACTAATTTTATTCTATACCTGACCCCAACTAATTATAATAAACAAATTATAGTAATGTGTTTACAAAGCTGGGAAATGTGCAGAAAAGAGCAACCCAAGTGAAATGAATACTGGAAAGTTCAATACCAACGAAAAGCATTTATTTTTCAAAAATACACACATAGAATCAGTGCCAAAAGATGTTGTTATAGCTACAAATCTAGACTGCTTTGAAAACAGATTAAACAAATTCATTGAAAGATCAAATTCATTGGAAAATTATGTGACTAACAATGGCAGAAGACTATTCCCCTTGTACCCCACTTAGGATTTTCCAATAGATGGCCAGGGAAGTAAATACTATGCTGGAATAAATAGAAATTTGTTTTGAAGCAACAGCACTCCTATGTTATTTTGGCATATTTCATTTTAAAACACACATTCACTAATTCATTAGACTTAGATCTCTGGATGCAGATTTTCTTCCTGCTATGCTATTTACATTAAAGAAATACTGGGTGACAACCAGACTAATTCCTATTGTTAGCATCTTGCTACTTGGATAGAGATTTAAGTACATGTCATTACTTAATATTCAGAGGGGATCCCGAAGTCTCCAGAAAATGTCTTTGAACTGAAATTAGAGACATAACTTCTGAAGTACATGGAGACATCAAGAATTCATCATATATGCCAGTCCTTCAGCAGTTTGTGGGGCACCTAGAAAATTCTACAGGAAATGCCTTCTGCACATAAGGCTTTAAAGGATTTTCTTTTAATCTGGGGCAAAATACCACGATCTTTGGCAGAGTTATATTAAGTGTACTCTCACTTTTGCACAACACCATTGAACTCTATGGAAGATGAGTGCCATGCAATTAATTTTATCTCCTCTTTGTCCATAAATGTATAAAACACTGTTATTTCCTTGAATTATAATCTACAGGCACAAATCGAACACATAAAAGCTGAAATATTGGGACTAGACTGCCTTTACATCAGTGGTTCCCAACCTTTTTTTCATCAGGGACCATTTGACCACGGACCACTCTCCAACATTAGTACCAAAAGGGTTACAAATCAGTTTTTGGTCAAGTTTACGTTTGGTTTGGTTATTTGGGGTGCTGATTCAGAAAATTGCATTGGATACAGGCATGTAGCCGGGGGGGGGGGGGGGGGGGGGGCGCGGGGGGCTTCAGCCCCCCCCCGAAATTCTCATGGTGGTTCGCGAAAAGGCCTTACTGGTGCATTATTTAAACTGTTATATTTATTCATATCATGATCTGATCACCATGCTCAATATATCCCATATGCATGGGGGTATTGGGGTAATGATACAAAAGGTTTGCTAGGCTAGACCCTCTTTCACTCAGACTCAGCCCCCCCCGCAACTCAGCCCCCCCGAACCCCCCTGAAAAAAATTCCCCCCCCCCCCAAAACGAAATCCTGGCTACGGGCCTGATTGGATAGACCACATCATCTCTAGTTTCTGATACAGAACATATGCCATCTAGTAGTCACCATCTGCTCGTCCACAGAAAACCATATTTAATAATTCTCGGCACTATAAGAGGGTTTTGTGAGACCAGTCACTCTCATTGCAATGGTGTAGTAATGGTGAGGCTGCAGACCATATTTTAGTCCTTGCTGACCACTGGTGCTCCATGGACCACAGGTTGGGAACCACTGCTATATATTATGTATTATTAAGTAAAACATGTTCAAATCGTATCTCCCCCCCCCCCCACACACACACATACATATAACAAAGTGTGGTTTAATTCTGGAAATATATATAGCGGTGTTGTTCTGTTTAAACCATAATGTTGTCGGCCTGTTGCATCCTTCCGCTTTGCACCAGCAGATTCAACCCACCATAGATCAAACATTATACACACAATTATGGGCCTAACTTGAACTGAAACTGAAAAGAAATAGACTGGTTTTAAAAAAATAAGGCTAGGTATTCCATTGCAATATTTCCTTTGACCATTCTGTCCTTCATCTAGATCCTTGAAAAGCTTCGTGATATTTTACAAACGGATTCCCTTGCAGAGATCCAAAATTGGCTATCAAAGGCAACTATAAAAGGTAAGAAGAGAACTACATTAGAATAGCTGCACACTGATAGAACATGAATCAATGTTTGGATGCAGCATTATTACTCTTTAGAGTTTTTGTTTCTACAGCTATATCTCAATGTGCACACAAATTGCCTGATTTTTTTTTCTGATCGTTCCTTTTCATTACAAAATTTGATGGCTGAATGTACGAGGGATATCCAAAAAGTAAGACTGCAAGATTTTTTTAAAAAATACAAAGAATGAATATATTTTAATAAAACTTACATAGATCATAGCATAGTGTCGCACACCAGGGCTGGAAGGGCACCTTTAAACCAGTCTCATCGCTCCAGAACTCAGCTTATAAGCAAAGCAGTTTATTGAAGGATAAATGTAAAGCTTCAGCAAAAAATGGTAAAAGATCAAAGAGACGATAGAAAGTATAGTCCTTAAAAAACAAAGCAATAATCCATAATACCAAGATACATGCATGGAGTCTTTATCAAAACAGAGCAACCCAGGAGATTGAAAGAACTCAGCAACTAAAACATAATTCCAAAAGTACATGAGACCAGGAAACAATCTTGGCACTTGAAGCATGAATCCACAAATATAAAACACAGAAAAACTTGAAGCTCAAGACCATGAATGCCAAACACATGAGAAAACTAGAGAGAGGAAACTTGAAGTATGAAACATGAAATCCAGACATTTGCTCCTCTGAGATACAACAGAATCAGTCCTCCTTTATACCTAAGAAACTTTGGCGTTTTCTCTGAGAACATTCTGCAGGGCCTCTTCTCATTAGCAGACACTGGGAATGGCATCTCCCTTCACTTTCTTGTCTTTGTTGACAAATTGCCCTTCTTCTATCTAGCTCAGGAGAAATAGGGGAAGAACCAGGGGAGACACATCTGCAATTACTACATTCGGATCAGAGAATGATCTTGGGTTCCCTTGAGAAGTCTGGCTCAGGGCTAGAAACCTCTAACTGTAGATCTCACTGCAAATCCATTGCTGACCTGTAATTCCCAGAATCCCCAGCCACATCAGGTACAGAACCAGGGTCCTGTGAGACCTCAGGTGCTGACACAATCACAGGTTGAACCACAACACATAGGTAATACATTATTTTTCCACATAATCACCTTAAATTCAATACATTTTGTCATCCATGCAACAGGTTTTTTGATGTCTGTGTCATAGAAGTCTCATGCCACCTTGTTCAGCCAGTTCTTCACTTCGATTTTATTATTTATTTATTTCGTGTACTTCTACCCCGCCCTTCTCAACCCCCGAGGGGGGACTCAGGGCGGCTTACAAAAAGGCACAATTCGATGCTTACACAGTAATACAGATAAAATATAGACAGCAATTAAAACAGTTTTAACAGTTAAAAACAATCAACATATATCACAGTTAATAAAAAACCAATCTTATGCTCAACGTTCGCAACTCAGAGTCCATAACTTCATTCCACATTTTCCATTCCTTTCACCTCATCATCATCAGAAAAGTGTTTTCCACCCAGGTGTTCCTTCAATTTAGTGAACAGATGATGGTCATTGGGTGTGAGATTGGGGTTGTGAGAGGGGTGGCTCGAAACATCTCAGCCAAATGAAGTCAACAACTCTTGTGTTGCATGATAGGCGTATGGATGTGCATTGTCATGAAGGAGACAGAGTCCTGCCATCAGCATCCCACAATGTTTTTTTGGATGGTGCTGCAAAATTTCTTCTTGGTTTCACAATGTCTAGCAGCATTGATTGTTTCACCTCTCTCCAAAGAATCAATGCGCAGAACCCCTTTTCTGTCCCAAAACCCTGAGGCAAAGATTTTTCTCGTGATGAATCACAGTGGCATTCATGCCCCTAGCATTTAGGTAGCGTGAACTTCACAATTGATGGGAAAAGGAATGAGGACACTTTACCACAACACCAGTTGATGAACTACTGACGACTGGCACTGCTCGTTCACTGCCACTGGTTTCTCGCTACACAGCAGTGATACCAACTTCCCCCACGAAAATTCCCCATGAGAGCTACATTTCTTGTAACCTTACTTTCTGGATAACCCTCATATTTTTCTTTAGGGGCGTTACATTTAGAAAAAAAATGGATTCATTTACAGAAATATTAAGGCAAAAATGAACTAAATATGATGATCTGTGCATCATTTTCTTTCAGAATGAAAAAATAAACCCAGCACCAGCTTTTTGTTAATATTATACTGTAGATCTATATTTCAAAATGAGAATTCTTGTTTACACCTAAGTGTTGAAACAGATCTACAGTCAAGACCAGCTCAATGATTGAGCCATTATTTTTTATTTTGGAAATGTCTTGTCTGTGGAGACTTGTGCAGAATATTATCTCCCACTGCAACAGGATTAAGAAGAGCACTTTCAGGCATACAGATAACCAATTTATTAATATTATCTCACAGTAATATTGTACTTATGTCAGCTTCAAAGCATCACTTCTAAACAGAAAATGCCTCTTCTTCTGTAATGTTTTAGAGAAAGAGTTTGTGTCAAATTTCATACGCGCTGATGTGACCACACGTGATCTGTTGAACTATCAGCAAAAGCCAGAGAAGGAAAGTGAAGTGCAGAATCTGAATTTGCGGGCTCTGCTGAAATCTCAAAAAGTTCAGAAAAGAATACTAGATGAAGACAACCAGGCCAGGTAAATTCAGAGGAATTGCTCTAGGAAATGGAGCCACCATATGCTAATCATGCCAAGCATATCTTTGTCCCATTAGATGTTTTGGACTACGAGTCCCACAATTCTTTATGATTGGCCATGCTCACTTGCCTAGTTTCCAACAGATCTCACAACCTCTGAGGATGCCTGCCATAGATGTGGGCCAAACGGCAGGAGAGAATGCTTCTGGAACATGGCCATATAGCTCTGAAAACTCACAGCAGCGCAGTGATTCCAGCCATGAAAGCCTTCGACAACACACTGGCTAGGATTGATGGGACCGAAGCTTGTAACTGATTGTGTTTATCTGAAGCTTACTGCACACTCAGCATCCAAGGGGGAACACATAGGACTCCAGAAAGTCTTTGCTTATTATTTTAATCCCTCTTCAGGCAGCCCCCAAGTTACTAACAAGAAAGATTATGTAGGTTTGTTCTTAAGTTGAATTCATATGTAAGTCAGAACAGGTACATTGTTTAAGTTAACTCTGGCCAATTTTTTCCCCGTGTCAAGAGCGACTTGAGAAACTGCAAGCCGCTTCTGGTGTGAGAGAATTGGCTGTCTGTTTTACCATCCTATAGGAAGCTTCTCTTATGCCTTCACATGGGAAGCTGGAGCTGATAGATGGGAGTTCACCCCGCTCCTCGGATTCAAACCACCGAACTTTCAGCCAGCAGTCCTGTCGGCACTAGTGCTTAATCCATTGCACACTGGGGGCTCCTACTCTGGCCAAATAGTATACATGTTTTAGCCTTGGATAGCACAGGGAAGGGTTAACACCCCTGTGGTGTTTGTTTTGCTGTCTCGGCCCCTTTCTGTCTCTGTGATCATTGGATTTTGAAAAAAATTGGCTTGTTGTGGAAACAAGGATTGGTGAGAAAGCTTCAGTGGAGACTTCTTTCTCCATTATAACTCTTTCAGGAGTGAATTTCCCTTCTTTGGGTTAAATTTTCCTCCTTTCCTGTTGTCTCACCCCCATTCTTAACTAGAAGTCATTTGTAAAACAGATGTCTGTAACCTGGGGACTGCTTGTAATGCAACTTGACTTGATAAGCAGAGTGGTAACTTCCATGATTTATTTTACCAGGATCAAACTTTGAAAACACAAGGTTTTTTTTTTCCATCATTGGCTTGAGATGGATGTTTTAGTTCAACAACATAACCCTATAAACTAACCTGAGTTGCCTGTGGGCTGAGAGGGGCGGTAAATAAATATAGTAAATAAATAAATAAATAAACATCTCAAGGGCCACATGGGTCACTTTGTTTTAGAGGGAAGCTTGTCCCTTGTTAATAAGCCAAGGTTAGTGAATGGAAGTAGGACTGCATATCACAAAGAGCCAGATGTCAACAAAACACACCATGGTTTGACATTATGTCCTTTCCACTCCTTATTTTCTGCATGTAGCTCAGTATTTATCTCCCACCATCTCCTAGTCACAATCTTCATTTTTCTCTTTAGGACTTCAACCCAAGGATCAGAAACTGGTAAAGATTCAAGAGCAGGTATGTGCTGTATATTGAACCCTGAAGGAAAATGGATATAGAGACTTCTAACAACTTGCCACTTGATAAGCCACATAACAGCTTTCACAGCAAGATAAATCAAGCTAGCTTTTTGGAGACATGGGAGCTTGTTTTTTAGGGTGGGGTTGGGGGGATTTGCAGTATATTCTAACTCAAGATTCTGTCAGTATATCCCCTAACTTAGGTTCCCAAAATTTCTTTCAGAAAGGGGCAAACATCATTCACTCTCAAGTGAGAAAATCAGAATCCCAACGTCAGAGGATGTACCATTAGAAGACACTCCCAGCAGACAACCCACTCGGCAAAGTCTCCCTCACTCCCGTGCATCACTACAAACCAGCAGTCAGTTGCTGTACAGGAAGTCCCGCTCTAAGCGACACCACCTCACTTCCAAAGAAGGAGCTCGTATTTAGGACCTATGAAAGAAGTGGGCTATTTTCTCCAAAACAACATAATGTACAGCTGCCTTTAGACCACATCTTCAAGCTCCCACTTAAAAAATAAAGCTGTTACCTAAAGCGTCACCTAAATGCACACACCAGCTCGAAATCTGGAATAGTGTGTTAAAATGGTAAACCAATAAACGTATTTTTTCCTTGTATGAGAGTTATTGACACAAGCCTTGTTCTTTATATGGAAACAAATTATGGGCATTTCCTTTGAACTGGAACAGTAGGGCTCTCAGCCACAGAATTGTAAGTACTTCAGTAAACTACAAATTCTAGAATTCTGTGACAGATATAGTGGGATGAGAGCACTGTGACTTATGATATGTAGTATAGCTTTTTGTGTGTGCGATTCTTTTAGATCTGTAATATCTATAAATGTTTTGTGACGTTCACAAAAGAAAATCACTTTGCTATGCTTTTTAGGAAAAAGCATTTTTAAAAAATTATCTCCAGCTGGCTCTTGTAAGGGAATGCATAGTGTTCCACAATATATAAATGTGCCATTTTGCACTGTCCTCCTACTTTAGGGGATAGCAAAAAAAATGGTTAACATCTTTCTAACCATCACTGCCTTCAGAGCATTGATATGCATATGAATACATTCCTTTAAATGGGAATTTAGCCTTCAGATGGATCCAGTTGTTTCCCAACCTTCAGAAGTGACTTTAAGTAATTGAATGAAGAGTTACAGTGCCAGTGATGGGAGCTTCAATATCTGTATGAAATAGTATACATGGTCCTTTAAATTAGTCCTTCTCTGTAATGCTTCAAAATAATAAAGCAACGTATTTGTTTATAAAGCATGACATTGGATAAGGAAAAGTAACACCCGTGCCCTCCATTCCCCCGTCCAACTAATAGCCGTATGCACCTGCTCTTTTCTGTCTTGAGTTCTCCACCAAAAGAAACAGCATCAAAACAAATATGAGCACAGAAACAAGACATACCCGTGACTATTCTGGTGAGATGGTCACATTTCATTGTACTATAATAAAGCAACATGGCCCATCTTCAAACTCTTTCCCTAGACACTAACAGCTGAGTCTGCAGTCTTCAGGATCCTCTCTGTCTGGGAGTACTGTAGAGACTCAGATATACTAATTTAAATAGTCGTACATCCATGTCAAACACTTCATAAAAGTGCTCAGACTGCAACCTAGTCTTCTGGGCAGGCACACACACACATACACATATATGCACAGCTTACTCTAAGGAGCTATTAAAACTGTCTTTAGAGTTTTGACTTGTTATTAAAATGGGGAAAACTCTCTATGCAATGTTCAATTAATACAGTGTTATAGAAGTTGTAGATGGTCAACTATTCCTTGAAATGGCAGGCATCATTATACAAGGGTTATCCAGAAAGTAAGGTTACAAGATTTTTTAAAACACAAAGAATGAGTATATTTTAATAAAACTTACATGAATTGTAGCACATTATTTTTCCACATAATCACTATTCAGTTGAATACATTTTGTCATCCGTGGGATGAGTTTTTGATGCCTGTGTCATAGAATTTTCCCTCCACCTTTTTCAGCCACTTTATCACTTTGATTTTCATCTCCTCATCGTCAGAAAAGTGTTTTCCACCAAGGTGTTCCTTCAATTTAGTGAGAGAGCTACGTGCCTTGTAACCTTACTTTCCTGATAACACTGGGCGCAAGATTGGGGCTGTGAGAGGGGTGGCTTAAAACATCCCAACCAAATTAAGTCAACAACTCTTGCATTGCATGAACGGTGTGCAGATGCACATTGTCAAGGAGACAGACTCCCACCATCAGCATCCCATGTTCGTTTTGGATGGCTCTGCAAAGTCTCTTCATAGTCTCACAATATATTCCATACCCATTTTGAAACATGCTGTCTTGACATTACGTCTTCTCCATAAACTGAAACGATTTTGCGATGGATCGCAGTGGCATTCATGTCCTTAGCATTTAGGTAGCATATTACACTGTGAACTTCGCACTAGGAGGTAAATGGCATGAGGATGCCCATCTCTAATCTTCACCACAATGCCAGTCGATGAGCTACTGATGACTGGCACTGCTCGTTCGTTTCTGCTGGCTTCCCACGGATATCAACTTTCCCCGAGAAAATTCCCTGCGAGAGCTACGTGCCTTGTAACCTTACTTTCCGGATAACACTCATAGTATAGAGAATGAAAGCCATTTCCACAAGCATAGTTGTATTCCTTGAAAAAAAAGAACTAAAGGCCCTGGTTTAGCAATTGTCTGTTCAAAAACTGCAAGAAGCAGAACCTATTCTGTCATTTAGGGTGTAGTTCCCAGCAATTAGAAAGGAAAACTATACCTATCAGAAACACCAAGGGAATTATTCCCCGTCCTAGTCTCCAGGGCAGCAGAAAACAAGCTTGCTCCCTCCTCCTTATGGCTTCCCCTCAAATATTTAATCACGGCCCTTGTCATGTTTCCTCTCAGTCTTCTCTTGTGCCATTGTAACCCAGAGAATATGTGTTTCTGAACATAAGAATGGAGGTATATCCCAATAAATAGGTAACACTGTTGTAATAGAGTGGCAGAAAGGGCTGGAATTCTGAAAAGACTTTCTCAAAGTTGAAAGGTAACATAATGAGAAACAGCCCTCAGAAAAGCAACCGTACTAGCTATAAACAGAGTATCATTCAGCAAAGATGAGATGAAGAATGTATACAAATCATCAGTCTACAAGTCTAGGAAATAGTTTTATTTTTACATCCAAGATTAGGAAGCGGCTACATTACAATAAAAAAGTAGATGGGGCATTCAAATTGTAAAGGCCTCCCCAATCTTCTCCCCCCCCCCCAACCCCTCCCAGTAATATTACAATTCAATTCTAAATTGAATTTGTCAAACACTCATCAGAGATTTCCTCAAAATATACAAGATGAAGTCAAAAGGCACAGCAGGGCCAATCGTGGAAGTGGCAGGAAGGCCAGGAACAAATTAAATCAAGATGTTTAAAATTAAACCCCACAGATGTTTCAGCCAAGCCAAGGTTCACTCTCAGCAAAGTTCTGTTACCATGTTCAGAACAGGAAAATTGTTTTGACAAATATTAAACAGCAAGTATCCACTTCCTTGGGAAACATAAAGACTTTTCCATTGGTAGTTTTGCTTTATAGAGATATACTAAAAGTAAAGTATTTTGTAAGTATGTGTGTAATCCAGATGTGGCAATATAAACTCAGTGCTTCAAAGAAGCCCACAAGCATTGCGTCAAGCCATAAAATGCTGCTGGCTTAAAGTGCAATATGTGGGAAGCATGAGACGCTCGAGACAGTTCTTGTGTTCCTCAAGTGGCTCCATTCTCCACCAAAACTAGCCGCCAAGTTGCCAAGACAACCTGCAGGTCTCTGCATATATTACTGGTCATATTGCATCTTCTGGGGGACATTTTGCCATCTTTAAAGGGCAGTCTGTGGCTTATATAGACCTTTTCTTCAAAACCCCAAGTAATAAACAGAACTTCTGATTTGAAAACAAACCTGACCAGGCTACATATATGAAAGAGGGGCAAAAAGAGTAGTTAACGGTATGCATGCATGTAGATATCCCAACTATGTGGGCGCAAATAATATGGGGACAAAAAAATTCACCTCACCCCAATTTTGAGTGGTGATGTGGGGCTGGCAATGGGTGCATATGCGCAACCATTCAAGATTCTGTGGTGGGTCACACCAAGCCTTGTCTGATGTCCTCCCCTGCTATAAATAATGCCACACACAAGAAAGGTGTCCAACTTCAGCCCCTTCGCATCTCTGACCCTTTTCAGCTTAGTCGCTATCTGAGGTTTCATCCTGAACAGGTTTTGAATCTTGCAGTACAGGTACAGACTTCTCCATTGTCTCATTTAGTGATGTAACTCCTTTGCGTTGTGGCAAGACACTGAAAAAGGCTTCTTCCCAGTCTCTTTTTTCTAAATATGCAAGGATGATCTCAAACACTGCAAACAAAAGAAGAAAATCATATCTTCTTCAGAGAAGCATGGAAAATATTATTGGAGTTGTAAAATCATAGATGGATTCTAGTTAATATATAGCAAGATTAAACCGGCAGGATTGCTGTCTGACAGGTTGGCGGTTCAAATCCGGTTAGCGGGGTGAGCTCTCATCTGTCAGCTCCAGCTTCCCTTGCGGCGACATGAGAAAAGCCTCCCACATCTGGGCGTCCCCTGGGCAATGCCCTTGAAGATGGCCAATTCCCTCACACCAGAAGCGACTTGCAGTTTCTCAAGTCGCTCCTGACATGAAAAAACAAACAAACATCTACTCATACAGATATCTGGTTTATGTAGCATTTGTTTGCTATTGTTATGTGTCTTCAAGTCATTTCTAACTTAGGGCAACTCTACAGCAAACTTATCACATGGTTTTCTTGGTAAGATTTGTTTGGAGGGAAGGGTTGCCTTTGCCACCACCTTATATTTTAACCTAAATCCAAAAATTACCATTTAATAATTTCTTCTTTTTTTAAAAAAATGGCATTTGCTTTGCTTTAAACTGTGACCAAACTGTTGTGTGTTTTAGACACCCTGAGTCCCCCTGTGAAGAAAGATAGGATATAAATAAATGAAGTATGAAATAAAGTAAATAAAATAAATAAATAAATAAGATTGACTGTGACTTGCCTAAAATCACCTAATGGGTTTCTATGGCCTAGTGGGCATTCAAAACCTGGTCTGCACAGTTGAGGTACAATTTCATAGACTATATAATTCAATAAATAAACCTTTAGATCATTTAAGTAAAGTAAAGGTAAAGGTTTCCCCTGACATTGAGTCTAATCGTGTCCGACTCTGGGGGGTGGTACTCATCTCCATTTCTAAGCCAAAGAGCCGACGTTGTCCATAGACACCTCCAAGGTCAAGTGGCCAGCATGACTGCATGGAGCACCGTTACTTTTCCACAGAAGTGGTACCTATTGATCTACTCACATTTGCATATTTTTCGAACTGCTAGGTTGGCAGAAGCTGAGGCTAACAGTAGGAGCTCACTTCATTCTCCAGATTCGAACCACCAACCTTTCAGTCAGCAAGTTCAGCAGCTCAGCAGTTTAACCCGTTGCATGACCAGATCATTTACTGATATCTAAAATCATAAATCATCTTCTTGTAGAGATGAAAAAAGTACCAATAATATTGAACACATATATGTCAATACTAGACACATAGGTTCAACAGATTTCAATCCCACAGATAACACATATCCATTGTTTGTTTGTTTTAATCCAGTGTCTAATATTACAGTTCTAGAACTTTAAACTAGGTCTTGAAAATGTTAATTGTACATTTAATATGAATCTTCTGATGCATTTATATTTCTCAATATCACCCTTACCATGATTGACTGCCAGAACTTTCCTGCTGTTCATTTTTACAAAAATACCTAGCGGAAGCTGTGCATGACGTATACCCTGCTCTTGTGCCCTTTTGTACGTGATTCCCTGAAAAGAAGACAAAGAGAAAAGGTAAATAACTCTCCGGCAATGAGACCTGTTCATTGCTTAAAAGTTTCAGATAATTTCCAGCATCTGATTATCTTTTTCCTATTATTTCACAGAACTACATGAATACAAAAACTCTTACGGTATGAGTGAAACTTCTAGACTACATAAAGATCCTGTAATTATTAGTCATGTGCATTCGGGCCAAAAGGCATACCATTTTCGGGTCAGTTTTCGTCTGACCCCTCATTTCATTTACCAGAAAGTTACCCAAAAGGGGAGAGGTGTTTTCAGTTTAATTTGGCAGAGATTCAGCCCATTGGCTACAATGGGAAATTTTAAAGGTTTAATCCTCAGTCATTTTATGGCCTATCTTGTTGTTGTTGTTGTTCATTCGTTCAGTCGTCTCCGACTCTTTGTGACCTCATGGACCAGCCCACGCCAGAGCTCCCTGCCGGCCGTCACCACCCCCAGCTCCTTCAAGGTCAGTCCAGTCACTTCAAGGATGCCATCCATCCATCTTGCCCTTGGTCGGCCCCTCTTCCTTTTGCCTTCCACTTTCCCCAGCATAATGGTCTTCTCTAGGCTTTGCTGTCTCCTCATGATGTGGCCAAAGTACTTCAACTTTGTCTCTAGTATCCTTCCCTCCAGTGAGCAGTCGGGCTTCATTTCCTGGAGGATGGACTGGTTGGATCTTCTCGCAGTCCAAGGCACTCTCAGAACTTTCCTCCAACACCACAGCTCAAAAGCATCGATCTTCCTTCGCTCAGCCTTCCCTAAGGTCCAGCTCTCACATCCGTAGGTTACTACAGGGAATACCATGGCTTTGACTAGGCGGATCTTTGTTGCCAGTCTGATGTCTCTACTCTTTACTATTTTATCGAGATTGGACATTGCTCTCCTCCCAAGAAGTACGCGTCTTCTGATTTCCTGGCCACAGTCTGCATCTGCAGTTATCTTTGCGCCTAGAAATACAAAGTCTGTCACGGATGGCCTATCTGCATCAGGTAAATGGGATCTACCTCAGTTGTAGTTTCATCAGACCTTTAGACATTTACAACTACAGGCCTGCCAAGTTTCAAAACAATTCACCAATCTACGGATTTTTTAGAATTATTTTAAGTTTTAAATGTAACATTTTTTAAACGAAGGCAAATTGCAAGAGAGGGTTCTGGGAATTGTAGTCACCAGCTGTGTCCATTCTCAGCCAATCAGAGCACGGACACCACCAAGGTATTTTATTGGCTGAGAGACACACAGAGGAGAGAGAAAAAGATGCCACAGATCCCCCTGCCTCAGATATTTTGTGGATTTAACTCTTTCTGAAAATATAGTCTCTCTGAATTTGTTTCACTGGTCTTTTCCTTTCTCTCTTCTGCTTTCTGTTTTTGGACATTACACGAAAATGGCCCTCTGAAATCTACATGTTTTCGTTAACAGTGATTTGGGCCCAACTCTAGCAATTATAATTAAAAGACAGAGAAGAGAATCAAGCAAATAACTTCAAACACCTCTGAAGCAAGTTGAACCTGTCCATAGAGCCAACATCAACTCAGAGAAACAGCAAAGCAGAAATAGTTCAGAAAAGTAACCAATTCCAACTACCCTCTTAAAATGTATTGTGAGCATATTAAAATGTAATTTCACCCAGTTATTTTTCTGCTGCCTTCAACAGACACACTTTTTCACCATTGTCCCTTAATCTATCCTAAATCTATCCTGATGAATAACCTTCGTGACCATATCTCTCTCCATGAACCAGCCTGAACTCTCCGATCTTCGGGGGAGGCCCTCCTTTCGCCCTTGCCAGTTTCTCAGACTCGCCTTGTGGGTACAAGGGAGAGAGCCTTTTCCTCTGTGGCCTCCCGACTCTGGAACTTATTGCCCAGAGAGATTAGGAAAGCCCCTACTTTAGAAACCTTTAAAAAGAGTCTCAAGACCTGGCTCTGTCCTTGCGCTTTCGGAGAATAGTCGCATAATCTTATGCTATTGCTCCCTCAACACTCTTGCCCTAGGAATACATCCCCCTTGTACGAAAGTCTATTTATTTTTCTGCCTCTCTACGAGTTCTTCCTTACAAATAATTCTGCTCCTTTATCTCACCCTGAGTTTTTTAATCATTTTATGTATATGCGGCCCATTAACTGTCATTATGTTTGGTTTACTGCTTTTTTTTAACATGTTCTGTGTATATTGTTTATATGCTTATATGTTTTATACTTTAATGCTATGTTGTTTATTTTATTGTAATTTTTGTATCTTATTTTATTGTAATTTGTTGTTTGGGCTTGGCCTCATGTAAGCCGCCCCGAGTCCCCGTTTGGGGAGATGGTGGTGGGGTATAAATAAAGTTTATTATTATTATTATTATTATTATTATTGTTATTATTCTGATGAATAACTAGAAACAGGTGCACATGCAGAAGGTGAGTATACACAGTTCGATACTACTTTCATTATCGTGGCTGTTTCCTGCCAAAATCTGGGATTTGTAATTTATGGAGGAACTTAGAATTATCTGCTAAAGCTCTAGTGCAATTGTTTGAATAACAGTAATAACGACTAGTTATTAAACATATACATACAATGTCATTTTTAAAAATTGTTCCCAATCAAGCTAACGAAGTATAACTCTTAGGGCCCTTTCAGACAGGCCAAATATACCAGCATCTAATCCCAGGTTTTCTGTTTATCCCAGATTATCTGGCAGTATGGACATATATAAGCAGAAAATCTGGGATCAGATGCTGGGATATAGGGCAAATAAATAAATATGGCAAATAAATAGGGCCAATCTGAATAGGTTCTTGATCTATGACTGAACATGAGACTGTTTGGGACCATCTAAGTCTCTAAACTTTCTAAAGGAAGAGCAGGATGATAATTAAACATGCCAACCATTCAACAGCTTATTGACACATTCTAAGCACATCCCCTTAAGCCTTTGTCCAGTTTATATACTTACGTTATAATCACTTTGATAACAGGCTACATTCACTTGAGAGTTTGTTACTAGAAATACTACAATAATTATGATTAAAAATAACAGAATCACAGAAGTTGATCCGTTTATAATTCTGGCAGCCAGAGACGCATTGCTGACACTGGTGTAGCTGTTTTAAGGATCATACTGCAATGTGAGGAATGGACACAAAATTATCAGGTTCATACACAGAATGATATCTGAGGGGGAAATTAAAGCAATAATTTAAAATCGTGTATTACTCTCACATATTTTTCCTGTGTGTGGAATTAATCATATTCTAACTATCACATACCACAATTTCACCAGATTTCCAGTGTTTTTCACTTTCTTTCACATTCAGAACATGATTTCACTGGAAATGGGATAAGGTGACACTTTATCTCTTTCATTTGACTCCCACAACCAAGAACCAGGAGAAATGAATAAATTTGTTTCTCAAAATTATTTGCTGTATATGGTACTCCAAATATATGAGGGTGGGTCAAAAAGTTTTGCCTCCTATGTCATTAAAACGTTATGAATGAACGTATAACAAGAGAAGTTGCCACAGAGCATAGCCTGAACTATCCTCTACACAAAACTACAATTCAACATTGTCACACATTTGCACCATTATTTAACTCAGGCATCAAAACCATTTTGGAAAAATTCAGGGTTTTGCTTTGTGACCCATGATTTTAAAGTTTTTTTAACATCATTCAAGCCATAGAATTTGAAACCACACAGGTTGTTTTTCAGAGTTTCAAACAGATAAAAGTCAGAAGGGGTCAAATCATAAACACGCTTCAAGCAATTATGGATTTCCTTAGGTGCACAGCCATCTTTTGCCAGAAATCCAACGACGACACTTTCTTTTTTAGCTTCAGATTCATTGTTCTAATCAGTCAATCAAAAAAGAAAATACTATATCAGTAGAGTAAGGTTACTTCTATCATATCATGCATAGATAGTCCAGTAGCTGTGAAAGAAATAAAAGTTAGAGCAATCGAGGCATTACTTTTTGACACACCCTCGTATTTACGAACAAAGAGTTCTTAAGGTGTCGTCTGAATCAAGTGGCTACTAAAGGAGAAAGTTGAAACAAACTCCTACTTTCCAAAATGTAGATTCAAATTGTGTGTTTACACAATTATTTACAATTTCAAAATACTCAATAAGGAAGTGACAGAGAAATGACAGATGTGCTATTTCAACCTAGTTTATATAAGGGAACAATAATTTAAAATAGCTGTTTCAATGAATTATTTAACTAAGGCAGACTTATTTAACTAAGGCAGACTTAGTTAAATGGGATTTCTTCTTCTAAGACATATGCACCATTAGTGACTTACCTTGTGATGGTTATGATCCACCAAGCCTCCAATGACATAGGCTTTGGACTCATCTAGTTCATTCAGGACATCGGGAGAGTCCGAGGTTAGATACACAAGGTCTTCCTTCTCTATCAATTCACTATAATGCTCTGATTTAATGTGGATATCCTATGAGACATAAATACATATAAAAACATCAAAAGGATTTCTGGGTATGTTTCATATCTCCCTGGATTCTTAGCTAAGATGACCAAGACAACTAAAGGTGAATTGACACCTGGTCAGCTGAAGCTCTGATGAAACCAAAGCTTTTCTAAGCTTGGGATGTTAGAAATTACTTAGGCCAACCTTACCCTTGCCTAACTCTGTGCTTCTAACTGGAGGAGGTTTGGATCCAACGTTATTAAGCTGTTCTCTTGCTTCACCCATTCTCTGCCCATTTTTGGCTCTTATGCCAGAAAATATTAGCATTTCTGCCAGGAGAATGTTCTGTGGATAATTTTTCCATATTAAGCCAGCAGAAGAGGGTCCTACGAGAATCTTCCTAATGCCGTGACGCCTTAATACAGTTCCTCATGTTGTGGTGACCCCCGACTAGAAAATTATTTTTGTTGCAACTTCATAACTGTAATTTTGCTACTGCTATGAATTGAAATGTAAATATCTGATATGCAGGATGTATTTTAATTCACTGGACCAAATTTGATACAAATATCCAATACGTTCCAATTTGAATACTGGTGGGGTTGGGGGGGGGATATTGATAATGTCGTTAGGGAGTTGTAGTTGCTGGGATTTATAGTTAACCTACAATCAAAGAACATTCTGAACTCCACCAACGATGGAATTGAACCAAATTTGGCACACGGAATTCCCATGAACAACAGAAAATACTGGAAGGGTTTGGTGGACAATGATCTTGAGTTTTGGAGTTGTAGTTCACCTACATCAGAGAGCACTGGGGACTGAAACAATGATGGATCTGGACTAAACTTGGCACGAATATTCAATATGCCCAAGTGTGAATACTAGTGGAGTTTGGGGAAAATAGACTTTGACATTTGGGAGTTGTAGTTGCTGGGATTTAAAGTTCACCTACAATCAAAGAGCATTTTGAACCCCACCAATGACAGAATTGGGCCAAACTTCCCACACAGAACCCCCACGACCAACAGAAAATACTGGCGGGATCTGGGAGGAATTGACAGTGATTTAGGAGAGAGCACGCCTTGGCTAAGAGGCTGGCCAATCACAGCAGGAGGAGGGTTTTGTTGGGAGCATTCGCTGTTTGTTTCCAAAAAGGAAGAGAAGGATAGACAGAGATCTTCAGCCTTCTCTGCCAAAGGAGTTTCCAACACCATCAGAAATATGTGTTCTCTGATGGTGTTTGGTGACCCCCAGGTTGAGAAACACTGTACTAGAATAAGTGACACATGTCTATCCCTAAGGACCTACATTTAGGACAGTACTGTCTAACTTTAAGTGGAGCAGGAGGCTGGAGTACTAATAAAATTGTATAATCCTATTAAGCATTGCTATTTAGACGATATTCAGGGTCAATGATTTTTCATTTGGAAGCAGCGTTGGACTGTAGTTTCAAATAGTAACTATCTAGCATGTTAAAAATTACACCTCTATACACAAACATACAACGCACCTGCCATGCTATAAAGAAAGATTGAAAAGTAGACAGAAAGGAAGAATTAGTTATAGAAGTAATTATAAAGTAATAACTACTTTATAACTAATTTTATTACATCTATTTTCACTCCTTCATTGAAAGTGGCTTTTACCTTCTGTAACTCTTTCAACACTAGTCATACAGTGCAATCTGTTAAGGTAGCTGGCAACATGAAAGGGAGACTCCATGACTCACATATCCCCCAAAAAGAGAGAGAGAAGGGGGGGGGGGAGAGAACGGACTTAGATCTTTATTGTTATGTTAAAAGAAACTGCAAAGTGTGGATAAAAAGGTGTTCATGTTATTCGTCATTCAAATAATTTATTTAATGTATTCATACCTTCCAGTTTACCCAGCCTTTGTCATTTTCATTCATGTTGTCTTTCAGCTGACCACCATGGCTGGTCAAATAAAACTTTGGAAGACAAAAGAAAAAAAGAAATGCACATTATGCATAGCAAATACTAATCATTAATTACGTAGGGTTGCTGTGAGTTTTCTGGGCTGTATGGCCATGTTCCAGAAGCATTCTCTCCTAATATTTTGCCCACATCTATGACAGGCAACCTCAGAGGTTGGAAACTAGGCAGTAGAGGTTTATATACCTGTGGAATGTCCAGGGTGGGAGAAAGACACTTGTCGGATTGAGGCAAGTGTGAATGTTGCAATTGTTTGAGTGTTTCCAACAGACCTCACAACCTCTGAGGATGCTTGCCATAGATGTGGGCAAAACGTCAGGAAAGAATGCTTCTGGAACATGACTATACAGCCCAGAAAACTCACAGCAACCCAGTGATTCTGGCCATGAAAGCCTTCAACAACACATTAATTGCATACTCGATCTCATAATCCACTTGCTCAGGGAATATTGTTTTGGATATACTCTAATTGTATTTATTTATTTATCTAGTTTTGTTTATTTATTTATCTAGTTTTGTTTATTTATTTATCTAGTTTTATTTATTTATTTATTTATTTACCACGCTTGTATCCCACCCTTCTCACCCCGAGGGGACTCAGGGTGGCCTCATAAATTTCACCAGACAATTTCACCTTATGTCTGGAGGCTCTGTCGAACTGGCTACGTGCTAGTAGACTGAAGGTGAACCCGGCAAAGACTGAGATTCTCTGGAATGGCCGCTCGATTGGTCTGACCCATTTGCTACCCACCTTCGATGGTGCTGCCCTATCTCCTTTGCCTACCATTAAGAGCTTGGGTGTCGTTTTGGATTCGCAGCTGACAATGGAAGCTCAGGTCGCTGCTGCCAGCAAACAGGCCTTTTTCCATCTATGACAAGCGAGGCAACTGGCACCCTACCTATCTGACGAGGCTCTGGCAACTGTCATCCATGCCACGGTCACGTCTAGGCTGGACTATTGCAACGCCCTGTATGTTGGCCTTCCGATGTCTACGACCCGAAAGCTCCGTATTGTTCAGAATGCGGCAGCCAGGCTACTCACAAGAACACCCATGAAATGCCATATAACACCAGTGTTGCGGCATTTGCATTGGCTTCCAACTGATTACCGTGGTCTATATAAGATGTTAGTTCTGACCTTTAAAATTCTTTACGGCCAGAGTCCATCGTACCTTAGGGACTGTCTCTCGTTCTCCCATCATCGGAGGTCGCAACGACCATCCCAACGTGACTTACTTTATATACCGGGTCCTAGAGAAGTGCACTTGGAAAGGACCAGACGCAGAGCTTTTTCTATTTCTGCCCCTGCCTTGTGGAATTCCTTGCCGCCCTATATGAGAGCCATGCGTGAGTTAGGGCCTTTTACCCTAGCACTTAAGACTTGGCTTTTTACTAGAGCTTTTGATCTATGTTAATTTTATCAATATCTGTATGTATGTATTTTTATCCTTTACAATTTTAGCTTGTAAATTGCCTAGAGCATCTTGGATGGAGGGCGATTAATAAGTAATTAAATGATGATGATGATGATGATGATGATAAAGCCAAAATTCAATACTGTGTGTGTGTGTATATATATATATATATGTAAATAAACAACTACATTAAAATCAACCCAATTAAAAACATAAACATTAAAATATTTCAGAACAGTTGTTTATTTAGAATGAGAAGCCCCCAATACCTAAATATATTAGAAATACGTCTGCACTTTAGGGATATTTCTTCAAAGAATATTAATAGCATAATGTTATAAAGTATTTACATTTAGGAAAACATGAACATATATACTGTTGCCATTTCCAGATTAAAGTGTAAAAAATTAAGAATGGCTCTACATCTCATGGTGCCAGAATGCAGTCTATTCAGCACCTTCCAAGTGTGTATGAATGAGCATGAAAAAGTACAGTCTAATTATCTTCATGCCATCTATTTATTATATTTTCATATTAAAAGCACTGCCCTTTCGTATAAGATGTATTTCATGTATGATGTATTCCATACCATTAAAAGAGTCAAAGCAAAAAAGCAAAAATAAAAAAACAAGAACAAGAACACTTTGCATGGACATACCTGTACAGGATGGAGTGCTTTGCGATTTTCTGCATAACATCTCTGAATTTGCTTGTGAAGTTTCTTGACATCCTGTATATAACACAATTTGTTGTTTATATTGTCCTTCAGAGAACACTATAAAATGCTTTAACCAAGAGATTCAGAGAGACTCTAAAGAGAGAGAAAGGAAACTTTTAACCAACAAAGATTTTTTAAATATAACATTTTTTGGGGGAAGAAAAAGATTAAGTCATATATAGAAACAATGTGAACGTTGCCATTATAAATGTATCCTCCCCCCATTACTGAATGATGTTCGCTATATGGGATTGGTTAATCGGCGTAGAAATAATAATCCAAACATGGGAAACCTACATAATCTATAAACCATTTTGGGGTGAATGTCTAGGTCGCAATTTTGAGGGTGCTTAAAGTAAAGGTAAAGGTTTCTACTGACATTAAGTCTAGTCATGTCCAACTCTTGGAGGTGGTGCTCTTCTCCATTTCTAAGTCAAAGAGCCGGTGTTGTCTGTAGACTCCTCCAAGGTCATGTGGCTAGCATGACTGCATGGAGCGCTGTTACCTTCCTGCAGAAGCTGTACACATTGATCTACTCACATTGCATGTTTTCAAATTGCTGGGTTGGCAGAAGCTGGGCCAAGAAGCAGGAGCTTACCCCACTCCCTGGATTCAAACCGCCAACCTTTCAGTCAGCAAGTTCAGCAGCTCAGCGGTTTAACCTGCTGCGCCACCAGAGAGGATGCTTATTTCAAAGTAAGTCTCAAAGAAGCTATCTTCAGAAGAATAGTTTCATTGTGCCAATTCTGTCTAAATTAGAAAAAGAATCTTTCTCTCACGATTTTAACTCCATTCCTCATTGGGTACAACAGAAAGAATAATGGAAATGCTTGGACTTAGAAGAATTATTGGAAAAATCCTATCTTTTTTTAACCAAATGTGAGACATACATCCCCAAGTCTACCAGTTGGTATTGGTGTTCCCACTTCCTAAAATCCCACTTCCTGAAAATGTTTAATATGAATTCAATATGAATTGGTGTTTACATCCTGCTTATTTTTAAAAAATAACCCAGCTAAAGATTCTTGAATACATTGGTTTTAATATTATTTCCATTTACCTTTAGTTCCATTAAACTGTCAAAACTGCAGTCTATAATAAGACGAAGTGTACTGGGAGCCACTTCCCTACACTTGCGCTTCCTGATACTTTCTTCACTGTTTGATTCCAATTGAGACCGACGCTCCAGTTTTCTCTTCAAGCGTTTTTCCTTACGTTTCTGCCTGAAAGATTATCATTTTTGAACAGCCACTCACCACTCTATTATCTAGTGATAAAGCATTCAATTTTACAATTGTCTATTTAAGCCCTCCACAATTCAAACTCAGGCCCCTTACACACAGCTGTATAAAATCCCCATTGAATTGGATTATATGGCAGTGTGGACTCAGATAATCCAATTCAAAGCAGATATTGTGGATTATCTGCCTTGATATTCTGGGTGGAAGGGCTCTCAGAGTGTTTCAGATAAACTTCCTCCCATATAAGAATATCAGTTCTATCCATTGACAAATGCAGCACTAGAGACAAAAAGGATACCTGTTCTAGTGTACTGGTCTTCAGGAAGAGAAACTGCTCCTTAGAGTGAAGACCATTAAACCAAAAGAGAGTTGGAGCAACACCAGTTATTCCCATCAGCATCTTGACTGGGCTAAAATGGGAGTGACGCCACAAAGGAGAGATGGGCAAAGGATTCAAAGAGAGGGCAGTTTTAATCTCACAAGACCTATTGCTACTAGGTTGCTGTGAGTTTTCTGGGCTATATGGCCATGTTCCAGAAGCATTCTCTCCTGACGTTTCGACCACATCTAAGGCAGGCATCTTCAGAAGATGCCTGCCATAGATGTGGGCGAAATGTCAGGAGAGAATACTTCTGGAACATGGCCATACAGCCTAGAAAACTCACAGTGATTCCAGCCACGAAAGCCTTCGACAACCCATTGCTACTATTAATCATATTGTTAACTTGAACCACCAAAATTAAGAAAAGTCAAGGCAGGATAAACAGCATTGAACACAACAATCTACAAGGAACACGATATATTATTATTTATCGTGTCAGAAGCAAATTGAGAATAGACATGATGAATAAAAACCATAAATGAAGTTTAAAAACTTGACATTACACTAAATTTTCTTTGACCAGAAGCTGGTCACATCAAATGTTGCTGGTGTTGCTGTATGAAGGTCCTTCAGTATGCATGTGGCAGGGCATAAACTGCATTGTAGTAGGTGGTCTGTGGTTTGCTCTTCTCCACACTCGCATGTTGTGGATTCCACTTTGTAGCTCCATTTCTTAAGACTGGCTCTGCATTTTATGGTACCAGAGCGCAGTCTGTTCAGCACCTTCCAAGTCTCCCAGCCTTCTGTGTGCCCAGGAGGGAGTTTCTCATTTGGTATCAGCCACTGGTTGAGGTTCCGGGTTTTAGTCTGCCACCTTAGTCTGAGGTGTTCCTGTGAGTTTCTATTCTAAGAATAGCCCATGGAACCAACTACTACCCAAATCTTAGAAAACTATAAAATTGTTACAGGATGTACTGTAACAGGCACACCTCAAATCTGTCTTACCTCACTATAGAACTTCATCACACTAGAGCATGCATGGGTTAACTTCTGCCCTCCCGGTGTTTTGGACTACAACTCCCACAATTTCTAACAGCCGGTAGAACACCTGGAGGGCCGAAGTTTGCCCATGCCTGTTTTAGAAGGTTTGTATCATGCTCAGAATTATCCTATGTTCATATAAACACAAGTTCTCTTGAATGGATCTGCTCAATTTGCCCTACTGATGGAAATACAAGAGGCAGGCGAGAGTGTATGCAAGCATGAAATCTATTTCTGGTGAAAATGAGGCCCCTTCTACACTGCCATATAAAATCCACATTATTTGCACTGGATTATTTCGCAGTGAAAACTCAGGCAAAGTGAAATAAAAAGGAGCAACCGCTCTCAAACATAACATTTGCAATACAGTCATAAAAAGTAAAATAAACAGGAATTGGCCATAATATACTATGTTAGTGTAGTAGATATTTAAAGATGGATTTAACAAAATTGTATTCTCTAAATTAGCCATAAACAAATTGGGAACAGAGGGGGCCAATGGACTTGAGAGCTGTGCTCCATCCTTTGGATATTACTGCTATTTGAACTCTCTTTTGGACTCTGGACTCAATGTCTTCTTACCTTGTTTGAAAATAGTTTTTATTGTATATACTTCCCTGAAATCTGTATACATTGGGATCTTACAACTGTAATGTTTGAGAGCGGTTGCTCCTGTTCATTTTACTTTTTATGACTGTATTGCAAATGTTATGTTTGAGAGCAGTTGTTCCTTTTTATTTCACTTTATGTGAATATACTGAACTATGTACTGAATATTATATACTTTGTGCACCTTGAGTACTATTATTTTTTCTTTACATAGATTATTTTGACACCCAAGAAGTATTCTGGGATAGTGTTTAGTAGTGAAGACTCAGGCCTCTTCCACACAGCTGAATAAAACCCCACATTATATTCTTTGAACTGGGATATATGGCAGTGTGGACTCAGATAACTCAGTTCAAAGCAGATATTGTGGGATTTCCTACCTTGCTGTTGAGTCATAGAGCTGTGTGGAAGGGCCCTCCAGTTCAAAACAGATGTGGATTATCTAATAACCTAGATTATATGGCAGTGTAGACTCAGATAACCCAGTTCAAAGCAGATAATGTGGATTATCTGATCTGATAACCCGGATTATATGGCAGTGTAGACTCAGATAATCAGGTCTGGATCAGATAATGTGGATTATCTGATCTGGCAATTCGGATTATATGGCAGTGTAACAGGGGCCTGAGTCTGGCTCAAAAGGAGCCCCTGAGGGTGCAATGGGTTAAAACCTTGTGCCAACAGAATTGCTGACCGAAAGGTCGGCGGTTCAAATCCAGGGAGCGGGGGTGAGCTCCTGTCTGTCAGCTCCAGCTTCCCATGCGGGATTATCTGATCTGATAACCCGGATTATATGGCAGTGTAGACTCAGATAATCCGGTTCAGCGCAGATATTGTGGATTATATGATCTGATAACCCGGATTATATGGCAGTGCAGACTCAGATAATCCGGTTCAGCGCAGATAGTGTGGATTATATGATCTGATAACCCGGATTATATGGCAGTGTAGACTCAGATAATCCGGTTCAGCGCAGATATTGTGGATTACCTGATCTGATAACCCGGATTATATGGCAGTGTAGACTCAAGATAATCAAATGTGGATTACATGTGATAATCTGGATTATATGGCAGTGTAGCAGGGGCCTGAGTCTGGGGCATGTGCAGGAATACAGAGGCCAGCCTGAACCTGCCCACAATGAATGACTAGCCCATAGAATGGCCCACTGCTATCCAAACCAGAAGGCATACTTGCGCAAATCTCTTTGCTCTTCCCACTGTTTCTGTTTCATCAGCTTTTTCCTCTGCCTCTTTGACATGGTGTCACAATTCTCCATCTTCTCAAGGACCTGTTCCTTGCTTCCTTCTCTCTTGTCCAGGTCGTGTTTCCTACTCTCTCCCACATCACTCATCTTGCTTTCTGCAAGGTTTTCAGGCGCCATTCCTGATGACGTCAGCATTCAAGCTTAACTCGCTGCCTTACAGAACTCTGGGAAACGTAGTTTTAGGGCGGGGCCTCTGCGATTCTCAGCTAGTGGCTGAGATAGCTGAGATAGAGATCCGGACTACATTTCCCAGGCCACCCTGCGCTGGAGGCAAACCCTCTCTACAAGGTTGTGCCCAAGGAAGTGGAAACCAGCTTCAGAGTATTTTTCTTTCAAAGTGTGTGTGTGTGTGTGAAAGAATTGGCCGTCTGCAAGGACGTTGCCCAGGGGCCGCCCGGATGTTTTACCATCCTGTGGGAGGCTTCTGTCCTGTCCCAGCATGGGAAGCTGGAGCTGACAGGCGGGAGCTCACCCCGCTCCCTGGATTTCAGTCAGCAGTTCTGCCAGCACAAGGGTTTAACCCATTGCACCCTCAGGGGCTCCTTTTGAACCGTTTTATTGTTTTAATGATTGTTTTATTGGGTTGTTGTAGGTTTTTGGGCTGTATGGCCATGTTCTGGAGGCAATTTTTCTCCTGACGTTTCGCCTGCATCTATGGCAAGCATCCTCAGAGGTGATGAGTTCTGCAGGAGTCTACTGTGTACCACGCAGCTGTGGACAAGTCTACATAGGGACCACCAAACGCAGCTTTGCCCAAACATGAATCAAAGAACATGAAAGGCACTGCAGACTACTTCAACCAGAGAAATCAGCCATAGCAGAGCACCTGATGAACCAACCGGACACAGCATATTATTTGAGAACACAGAAATGCTGGACCACTCCAACAACCACCATGTCAGACTACACAGAGAAGCCATTGAAATCCACAAGCATGTGGACAATTTCAACAGAAAGGAAGAAACCATGAAAATGAACAAAATCTGGCTACCAGTATTAAAAAACTCAAAAATCACAGCAGCAAAACAACAGAGGGGAAACAAACAGGCACATGAAATCACTCTCAACAAAAGATTCCCCCAGGCGCTTCCAAGCCATTGAATGCTAATCAAGGTGATCAGCTGAAACATTCACACCTAGCTCCAGCAGACAAGAGTCCTTTGTCCCACTCTGGTCATTCCACAGATATATAAACCCTTTTTCCTAGATCCAACAGACCTCATGACCTCTGAGGATGCTAGCCATAAATGCAGGCGAAATGTCAGGAGAGAATGCCTCTAGAACATGGCCATATAGCCGGAAAAGCCTACAACAACCCATGGATTCCGGCCATGAAAGCCTTCGACAATAGATTGTTTTATTACTCGTGGATGTATTTTTAAATTTGATTTATGTCTTAATTGTAGTGTATAATTGCAATTGTTTGTACTGGCATTGGATTTTTGCCATTACTTATGTGTAAACCGCTTTGAGTCCACCTCGGGTGAGAAAAGCGGCATACAAATACTGTAAATAAATAAATAAACTGGATTATCTGAGTCCACACCGCCATATAATCCAGTTCAACGTGGATTTTATACAGCTGTGTGGAAAGGGACACAGATAACCCAGGTCTCTTCCACACAGCCCAATAACTCACAATATCTGCTTTGAACTGGGTTATCTTAATAATAATTAATAATAATAATAATAATAATAATAATAATACCTTTATTTATACCCCGCTACCATCTCCCGCAGGACTCGGTGCAGCTTACAAGAAGCTGAGCCCAAATACATCAGTAAAACACAACAACAACAATACAACAATAAATAACTCATAACAAAGCAAAACAATAACAATAATATCACGACGGATTTAAAACCTGTGGCAGGGCCAAATGTAATGATTAAATTTTTAAAATGCTGGGCATGTTCAAGAGAAATAGGATGGATATTTTAGGGATAGGTGGGCGTGCAGACAATTCTAATATATAAACCCATTTTCCTAACTCCAACAGACCTCACTACCTCTGAGGATGCTTGCCATAGATGCAGGCGAAACGTCAGGAGAGAATGCCTCTGGAACATGGCCATATAGCCCGAAAAAACCCACAAGAACCTAATTCTAAATCTCTCTTAAAGTGCATCTTGAGTCCACGCCCAGATAATGTGGGATTTTCTGCCTCGATATTCTGGGATATGGTAGCACAGTGGGTTAAACCACTGAACTGAACTTGCAGACTGAAAGTTTGGTGGTTTGAATCCGAGGAGCAGTGTGAGCTCCCACTGTTAGCCCCAGCTTTTGCCAACCTAGCAGTTCGAAAACATGTGAGTAGATCAATAGGTACCGCTCCGGTAGGAAGGTAACAGTGTCCCATGCAGTCATGCTGGCCACATGACCTTGAAGGTGTCTACGGACAACGCCTGCTCTTTGGCTTAGAAATGGAGATGAGCACCAACCCCCAGAGTCGGACATGACTAGACTTAATGTCAGGGGAAACCTTTATCTTTACTATTCTGGGATACAGGGCTGTGTGGAAGGGCCTGGGTTATCTGAACTGGAATATATGCACTGCCATATAATCCAATTCAAAGCAAAAAAATGTGGAATTTTATTCAGCTGTGTGGAAGGGGCTCCAGTCCAAAGCAGATACTGTGGGTTATGTAACTTGAGATTTTGGGTTATATGGCTGGAAGGGCACTAGAAATTGGAAATACATTAAAATAGGGAAAATCTGAGTTGCTACAGCAGAAGAAACATAAGTCCTTTCATAATAATAATAATAACTCAGCCCTTATCAGACCTCAAAATCGAATTGCAAAGGCTCTGGCATAAACCAGTACAGGTGGTCCCAGTGGTCATCGGCACACTGGGTGCCATGCCAAAAGATCTCAGCTGGCATTTGGAAACAATAAACATTGACAAAATCACAATCTGTCAACTGCAAAAGGCCACCTTACTTGGATCTGCACGCATCATTCGGAAATACGTCACACAGTCCTAGACGCTTGGGAAGTTCGACTTGTGATTTTTTGATATGAAATCCAGCATATATATCTCATTTGCTATGACATACTGTGTTTTTGTGTCAGAATAATAATAATAATAATAATAATAATAATAATAATAATAACAAGTATTGTCGAACACAGAAATGCTGGACCACTCTAATAACCACCATGTCAGACTACACAGAGAAGCCATTGAAATCCACAAGCATGTGGACAATTTCAACAGAAAGGAGGAAACCATGAAAATGAACAAAATCTGGCTACCAGTATTAAAAAAAAACCCTCTAAAATTACAACAGCAAAACAACAGAGAGGAAACAATCAGGCACATCTAATCAACTCTCAACAAAAGATTGCCCCAGGCACTGCCAGGCTATCAAATGCTAATCAAGGGGGTCAGTTGAAACATTCACACCTAGCTCCAACAGACAAGAGTTCATTCCACAGATATATAAACCCATTTTCCTAGTTCCAACAGATCTCACTACCTCTGAGGATGCTTGCCATAGATGCAGGTGAAACATCAGGAGAAAATGCCTCTAGAACATGGCCATATAGCCCGAAAAAACCTACAACAATCCAGTAATAACAAGCTGGGGGCGGCTTACAGACGGTCTACAGGCATCACATACAACTCTGGAATGATTCCATCAGTGTTGCCTCCAAAAAATCCTGCAAATCTCTTAGGAAGACAGGCAGCGTGCTGGAAGGAGCAAAGAGCACCAGCACTGAAGCGATGTTCTTCCACCATCAACTTTGCTGGACTGGCCACATGGTCCGAATGCCAAATTACTGTCTCCCAAAGCAGTTACTCCACTCTCAAGTCAAGAATGGGAAATGTAATGTTGGTGGACAGGAAAAGAGATTTAAAGATGGGCTTAAAGCCAACTTCAAAAACTTTGGCATAGAGACTGAGAACTGGGAAGCCCTGGCCCTTGAGCACTCTGACTCGAGGTCAGCTGTGACCAGCAGTGCTGCAGAATTCAAAAAAGCACAATAGGAGGGCGAAAGGGAGAAACGTGCCAAGAGGAAGATGCAACAAGCCAACCCTGACCAGGACTGCCTTCCACCTGGAAATTAATGTCCTCACTGTGGAAGAACATGGCTTTCAAGTATTGCAGGTTTTTTTAGGGCTACATGGCCATGTTCTAGAGGCATTCTCTCCTAACGTTATAGCCCAAAAAAACCTACAACACCCCAGTGATTCCGTCCATGAAAAGCATTTGACAATGCATTGCTATCAAGAATAGGGCTCCACAGCCACCTACAATCCCACTGACAAAACACCACATCGTCCTTGAGCTACGAGGGATCGACTAAGTGCTACACAAGACTTCAAATATATATGCGTACATTTTGGGGGAGAAATAAGCTTTCCCGCGCTCATCCAAACAGAAATCCTGATCATCTCGATCCCGTACTTTATGCGCTCGCTCAGCAGTTGCCAACAAGGGACCAGCACTCTGTTTTGCTTCGGACATTGACCTTGACAAGTCACATCCGTTGTACGCGGCTAAAGAGATAGTATATTTATTGTTTTATCGTGGCCCAACCCAAGAGCCGCAAAGTGACAAGCCATGCTGGGTCTCCTTTGAAGGAGAAATGGTGCCCCCTCCCACCCCCATTATCATTCTTATTTACCCCCATTCTTATTTACTTGACACATTGTTTGGTTTTTATTTTTTGGAGTGGCTATGGTCTATAACCAGGCATGGGCAAACTTGGGCCCTCCAGGTGTTTTGGAATTCAACTCCCACAATTACTAACAGCCAGTAGGTTGGTAGGAATTGTGGGAGTTGAAGTCCAAATCACCTGGAGGGCCAAAGTTTGCCCATGCCTGGTTTATACCTCCATAAAAAGATAAATCTTGTGTCATTCACTGAACCCACTGGATAAACTTAACATTTCTGGAATGACTGTATTAAAGAAATTACAGGTCTGTGAGTGACATTTGACCTACAAAAGTTGTACTCTGATTTGTGCGAGGAACAGAATGAAGATATTTTATGGAACTCAGTTTGGTCAAAGGAAGCCTAATTAGTTTCATTAAGTGATAATGGTAAGACTTTTATTACTTGGACTCTGGAAATTTATAGCAGTGGTAGTACTTTGACCCTGGAACAGTGGCCAACAAGGCTTGTTTGATGTGTACAGGAAGGGGATCCTTCTTCAGATCAAAGATAATTAATTGGACAGCAGTTTCATATTTTGAGAACTCTTCATGGATCCGCTTCATGACGTACAGGCAGTTCCCAAAGTTACAAACATTTGACTTACAAACTCCTAGTTAAGAATAGGGTTGAGACTACAGGAAGGGAGAGAAACCTACACCTTAGAAAGGGAATTCACTCCTGAAAGAGTTATCATGGGGAAAAGGTGTCCCTACTGTACTCATTCCAGCCTCCCTTCCTTTCTTGCTCTGTCTCCCTCTCTCTCTTTATGAAGCCAAACATACCGGGAATAAAATCCATGCCAAATCAACTAACCCAAAATTCCTCAAAGTGGACAAGAGCAAAACAGACAGCAAGCTCCCAAAGTGGACAAGAGCAGAAGGCACAGAGGCTGCTTCCTTGAAGCCCTAAAGCCCTGTGCTATCACAATAGTGCTCTCTCTGATGTTAACTTTTAACTCAAAACACTGCTCTTATGTCAAAGCAAAACCAGGGTTGAATGATGGCTCTTAACTCAAAACACTCTTAAGCTGGGGTGTTCTTAAGTCGAGGTTCCACTGTATTTATTTATTTCAGTTGCTGTAGATCTTTTATATCTAAAAGGTATCTGTTTTTACATAAAAATAGTTGCACGAATGTATTGGGGTTGTAGCAGTCGGACGTAACAATTTCCTTAATATCTTTCCCCGATGTCACTTACATTCTTGAATTTACCATTGACTGCAGAAGAAGAAATGTTACCCATCAATAGAATATACCAACAAGCTTAATGTATTGGTTTCAGCATTGGACTATGACCAGGCATGTAGCCGGGGGGGGGGGGGGGGGGGGCTTGAGGGGCTTCAGCCCCCCCCCCCCAAATTCTCATGGTGGTTCGCGAAAAGGCCTTACTGGTGCATTATTTAAACTGTTATGTTTATTGATATCATGATCTGATCACCATACTCAATATATCCCATATGCATGGGGGTATTGGGTAATGATACAAAAGGTTTGCTAGGCTAGACCCTCTTTCTCTCAGACTCAGCCCCCCCCCCCGAAACTCAGCCCCCCCGACCCCTCCTGAAAAAAATTCAGCCCCCCCTCCCGAAACGAAAACAGTAAACAGTATTTCTTGCTGTTTCTTTGTCAGTGTTGATGTGGAGAGTGTCTGGTTTGCCCACCCTGGAACATGCAACGTATAATTGTCCTTCTTTAAGGGTCCCTTTCAAATCTATGATACTATGTGTGAATCATATCTATCTGTCTATCTATCCATCTATCTATATCTATGGCTGGAAGGCTCTTTGTCAGGAGGACTTCGATTACATTTTCTTGCCCTGATGAAGGGAGTTGGACTGGATGGCCTTAAGTATTTTCTGTTGGTCATGGGGTTCTGTGTGGGAAGTTTGCCCCGATTCTGTCATTTGTGGGTTCAGAATGCTCTTTGATTGTAGGTGAACTATGAATCTCAGTGACTACAACTCCCAAATGTCAAGGTCTATTTCCCCCAAATTCCATCTGTGTTCATATTTGGGCATATTGAGTGCTTGTGCCAAGTTTGGTCCAGATCTATCATTGTTTGAGTCCACAGTGCTCTCTGGATGTAGGTGAACTACAACTCCCAAACTCAAGGTCCATGCCCACCAAACACTTCCAGTATTTTCTGTTGGTCATGGGAGTTCTGTGTGCCAAGTTTGGTTCAATTCCATCGTTGGTGGAGTTCAGAATGCTCTTTGATTGTAGGTGAACTATAAATCCCAGAAACCACAACTCCCAAATGACAAAATTATATTTTTTTAGAGTGATGGTCACTCCTTGTGTTGTGAGACTTTTGTTGGCAAATTTATTGTGATTTCGTTCATTGGTTCCTTTGTTTTTAAGGTACTCATTATGCACAGAGCATCTATCTATCTATCTATCTATCTATCTATCTATCTATCTATCTATCTATCTATCATCTATCTATCTATCTATCTATCTATCTATCTATCTATCTATCTATATCTATCTATCTATCTATCTATCTATCTAGTGAGGAAGTTGTACCCCATAGGCAATTAATGGGTTTGGATTTCTATCCTTGACATGCCAGATATTTAAGTCACGTGTTTGGTGTGCTGTTTACATGTTCTTTGCATCTTCAGGACTGACAACGGGGATAATAATGCTGGCCTGCCTTAAAGGATTGTTTCAGCACTCTTTTGTGAAAGTTTTGTGTTCTTGATCAACAGATCCTTACATATCCTTGCTCATATTATGCTTTAAAACAATCACATTGTGGATAGCACAAGGAGGGGAGATTATCTTGTTTACATTGTTTAAAGTTAAAATTCCTGCCCAACATGTTTGCCTGTAGCTCTTGGGCCCCTTCCAATCCCACAATATCTGCTTTGAACTGGATTATATGGCAGTGTGGACTCAACCCAGTTCAAAGCCGGTATTGTGAGATTTTCTGCCTTGATATTCTGGGATATAGGGCTGTGTGGAAGGGCCCCAAGTGTCAACAGGAGTACTTCTCCACTGTTACTTATAACACTGCCTATATTATTTACTATATAGTCAGGGAATTGGTAAAGGTCACCATGTATTGCCCTGAGTTTTAGTCTATATTAATGAAAGCTAAGGAGAACAATGACACTTCTGAATGTCATGCAGTCCTTAATAATTAACTGCAAAGACCTTCAATGAACTTAGTACTCAAGTTTGGAGTTTGGAATCTGACCCTTACTACATCTAGATAAACATTACTGTGACAGATTGAGAAGCCCTCTTTCAGACTTCACTCCAGTCTGAGCAGTTCACTTCTCAATAGCCTAACAGTATTTCATAGTATTGAAGTTTACAGTTTAAAAGAGCCAGGGATGATTCTTCTTACTGTGCTTTTCCCTTGCATCATTTCAACCTACTCAGCATCTGTGAAGGGTAAGTTGTATATCTAGATTTTCTAAAGGGTTTTTTTTTTTTTTTTTGCTTTTTGGGGGAAACTATGTAGAAACAAACTTTCTGATAAAAGAAAGGGAAGCATATTGAAAATCTTTCTAGTGTGGGTTAAACCATATTTCTGATATTTTGAAGTTGCTAATGCTTTACATAATAATACACGATTTATCAACTGTTGCTCCTGAGACCCATGTGTTTTGGGGCAGGTTAAGTCTACTGTTTCTACAGTTTGAAAAAGTAAGCAGAAATGTTTTTATGGCAGATATAAAACTGTTGGGATCTTGATCTGAACTTCAAACCTTATCCTGTGAAAAGAATGATCCGTTAAAGTAGTTTTAGGACATTGGGTTTCCTAATGTAACCTGACATCTGATACAATTGAGATGAGGAAAAACACATCCTTTCAGAGGTTCTGGACTGCAACTCCCAGCACTTCTCAACATTAGATATTTGAATGCTTTGTTAGGGAAATGATGGCAGTGGCAAGGGGCAGCTGGTCCCTTGAATTGATATTGGTGTTTTCCCATCTCCATGAAATGATCCTTGTATCATCCAAAGGTCATATCAAAATCCATAATTTTGGCCTTCATAACCTACTCTTGACTTATACATGAGAACGATTTATACATGAGTTTTTTCCATGTCAGGAGTGACTTGAGAAACTGCAAGTTGCTTCTGGTATAAGAGAATTGGCTGTCTGCAAGGATGTTGCCCAGGGGACACCTGGATGTTTTACCATCCTGTGGAAGGCTTCTTTCACGTCCTCACATGGGAAGCTGGAGCTGACAGACAGGAGCTCACCCTGCTCCCCAGATTAAAACCGCTGATCTTTTGGGCAGTAGTCCTGCTGGCACAAGTATTTAACCCAATGCGCAACTGGGGGCTCCTGTACACGAGTATATAAAGTATATATGAGTATATATATGGTAACATGGAACCCAGTGAGAACCTGAATAGGTTCCATAGGAGTACAGTGTCAGCCATTGATTTCCTGTACAGTCTTGAAGCTGTGTAATGCTGAGGCAGCAGAAAGTGAATGCAGAGATCACCTGTGTGGTTGACATACTTGTTCCCGAGTGACCTCTCCTATTGATCAGAGCTTGTGGTATAGTTCTGATTGATGCTGTAGTTTAGAAGACATCTACAATGAAAGCAGAAGATACCTTCTAGCATGTCCAACTTGATATAAGAGCTCATGATTGAGTGAACTCTCTTATGGAAGGGGAGAAAAGGAATTTTTCTCCACTGCTGTTACATCCTTACAATGTCATTGAGTGGATTTATTTTGCATGATTTGTGGTCTTTTGTCAACTGTCAATTGTGGAATCCTTGATTGCACTCTGTAACCCTTCTGTGAGACATTTTGAAGACAAAACTGCTCCTATATGTTATGATCTGAAGTCAATGTACCTAGGGAAAATGTGAAATTGTACCTAATTTACAAAATATTCATTACAAAAATTTTCAAAATATTTACAAAATCATCTCTATGTGTTGCATGTCTGAAAGTATTAATTATGAACCTATCTAAACACATTGAACAGCTCAAACAAAACAGCTCGGATAGCTTTTTAAAACCATGCACAGTACGACCCCTGTATCACCAGGACAGATATCTGAGATTTCATTTATCCATATCGAACAACATATTTTCTTTATAAGCATTTTCTGGGTCCTTTAGCACAATTCTATAATATTCTTGGGACAAAAGTCCTTTATTTTCCTGTTTCTTGGCAGGGCTGGATGGCCCATGAGATCACTTCCAAGTCAATTATTCTCTCTATATACAACTTTAAAAATATCAGAACTCTAAAATATAGTATAAATGTAATATAACATATAATATGAGTTTGTTATTTTTTCCTATGTATCAAGACTTTTGAGATAACCTGTAAGTTAATTAGTTGAGGTATCTAGAGCACCACTTGGTCCCAAATGATATTAAGGTTTTAGGGCCTGAGGATACAAACAATGTGCTTAAAAATGTGGTGTGGTTACCCATTCTGCCTCTTGGTTTATTATGTCTAACATTTAACTGGGTCCAGGAGGTGGTTACATTTTCACAAAGAGGGTCAGTCACCCCTGAAAAATATTCTTTGGACCCAGATCTAGACAACCCGTTACTAATATCACCTTCCTGGACATGATACTCAAATAAGTGGTTGCTGGCCACATTTGGATGAATCAGAGTTTTATCTACATAGACTGTTTTTCACACTGAGGGACCTTCTACACAACCATATAATCCAAAATATCAAGGCAGAAAATCCCACAATATCTGCTTTGAACTGGGTTATCTGAGAACACACTGCCATAATTTCCAGTTTCAAGTAGATAACGTGAGATTTTATTCAGCTGTGTGGAAGGGGCCCATGTCTGCTTTGATCATCTCATAGCTCTTTGATGGAAGAGAGATGGGAGATTGCACTCTTTTTGTATTTTTCGTCTTCTAGAGATTTTAGTCCCATTTAACATTGTACCTTCTGAATGAACTATATGATGTTGTGTGGGTCACTGACCGTCAGTAGCTCCAACAACATCTGAACAGTCATCTCTAGAGGCTGGTGCTGGGGTATTTCTCCTTGACTCCACAGCATGTACACTTTGGACTCTTTGCAAGGTTCTTTACCATACTCTGTGTTGCTTAATGCTTCTAAGAAACATGAAGTCCTCAGAGTTAACTTTGTTGTCATCAGCTTATGGATGCCATCAGCTCCAGTTGTCTTTTTGTCTAAGCAGAGACTGTGGAAATGGTTTATCATGATCTACCAATGATGAGTAAATTAGCATGTGACAGTTATGATGACCTGCAAAGTAAGCTTCAGGGCACACTTCACCAGTTCAAATGGGTGTGGCCAACTGTGAACTTGTGGACAGTATATCCTGTGGTCAGTGTTGTGAGAATGAGTTTTTGCTCCATTCCTTAATGGAAGAGTACATAAAGTCTGACTGAACAAAGGCTGTTTGTGATGAATATGAAGCATTGTATAATTAAAGGATAGCCTGATTCTAACGACTTTACATTGGAGTAAAGACTCCTTAGGCTTCTTGATCCAATCTCTTCAGCATGTGGTGAGCTGAAGTTTCTATTTCTGTCTTAAAATATTATCTATGTATATAATATAAATGGCATGCCTATTTGTTTTTGGTATGTGTCTTCAAGCGGACTTCCACTTAGATCAACACTAGGAATGAAGATTTTTTTTTAGAGCCTCAGTCTCCAACTTTTAATGCTTGCTCAAGTCTGATTTAGGGCTAAAGGTAAAGGCAAAGCTTTCCCCTTGACATTAAGTCTAGTTGTGTCCGACTCTGGTGCTCATCTCCATTTCTAAGCCAAAGAGCCAGCATTGTCTGTAGACACCTCCTAGGACAAAATGACTGCATGGAACACTGTTACTTTCCTGCTGGAGCGATACCTATCGATCTACTCATATTCGCATGTTTTCTAACTGCTAGGTTGGCAGAAGCTGGGGATAACAGTGAGAAGCCCACCCTACTCCCCAGATTCAAATCGTCGGTCAGCAAATTCAGCAACTCAGTGATTTAATCCGCTGCGTCTCCTGTGGCTCCTGATTTAGGGCTATGGCTTCCTTTATTAAATCCATTTTACTGCCTCTCACATGAGCAAGCATCATCATCTTTTCCAAGGAGACAAATAATCTCATGACCTCATTACCTCTGAGGATGCTTGCCATAGATGCAGGCGAAACGTCAGGAGAAAAATTGCCTCTAGAACATGGCCATATAGCCCGGAAAAACCTACAACAACCCAATCTCATGATATGTCCAATGCATGATAGCCTCAGTTTAGTCATTCTAGTTTCAAGTTATAGTTAAGCCTTAACTTGCTGTCATATGTATTTATTTGCATTTTTGCAGCCCATAGTTTCTATAGAACATGCCTATTACCAGATATAACTGATAGATGGCTACTACAAATTGTCAAATAATCATTGGCAGAACTGAGCTCAAATGGATCATGCTTGAAGACATTCTGCCTTAACTGGTTGAATCAATCAGATCACAAATTCTTTGTATCTCAGTACATGATTCATTAATAATTTTAATAATAATGTTCTGACTGAATGATATTACATCAATGTGTTATTATCTAGCTATATATTCTATCTTTTCTTCTAAACTACTTTTGGCTCTTTTGGCTCCCACTTAAAACATTAACTAACACTGCAAGAAACAGAAAATGTAAATATACACCCCTTGAACCAGTTTGTGGTTAGAGAAACTCAAGTTGTGCATGCCAAGAGTGCTAATAAAAGGTACAAACCCTGACAGCTGCCTCAGTTCGGGCAGCATAACTTTCAGTATTATACAGTATCATGATTTAATTATAGACTGCCTCTGTGACAGACACTGAGATTGTAAGTGAGGCTGTATGTATCCACGCCTCTTTGTAGGAAATGATCACAGAGGTCCTCGTGACCCCAAGTCTATGTTAAAATAGGGCAAAGACCAGTTCTAGTACTATTAAGGAAGTGGAAGAACTAAGAATTGCATTCTGCAATTGCATTCTGCAACAATATCAGAAAAAGTAATATAATTGAGGGTGAGAGCAAAATAGGTTGAAAAAAATCTTTTGTATATCATTAGTAGTGGCTGCCACATTATCACAGGATGTTTCCGCCCACCACTACTGGAGAAATTATACTGTTTAGCTGGTATTGCACTACCTGACATCCTCCAGCAAGTAGCAGCCAATAATGAAAGGACCAAGGCAGTGACATCTCCAGCCCATCCTCTGTTCAGATATCAACCAGCATGCCAATGCCTTAAATTAAGAATGGTAGGTTACATACCTGTGACCATCTTTCCTCGAGTGGTGCTCTGCGAATTCACACTTGTGGAGAGACTGCGCCTGCGCGGGCTCCAACGGAAACTTCTACATTTTAAAACTTTTCAAGTTTTGGCGGTAACCCCGCCCAGCCCCGGCAGGGGATAAAAGGGCGCCCCGCGCACACCGATCC